TAACAAGTCATGACCAAAATGTGTCATCTTCAGGAACACAGGGGAGATGTACACCATTTTCAAACGTTTCATCTAAAAACACAGATTTGTGTCACATGTTTTGAATGATCGGAGTCTTGAGTATGAGCAGAAAAGACGCTACTTTCCCAAAGAAGGAGAGAAAAGTGAACGTGTGATCCTCTATAGGACAATAAATATGTGACATTAAGAGAACGCTTGAGAGCTTTCCTGCATTACACTCCATTATATGTCGAACCATCACCTGGTGTCTGAATTTTGTGTTCCTTTACATAAATAGACATTTTCAGTATAAACAGAAAATGCACAAATCATAAAATCACCAGAATGCAGGACTAAAGTAATGTATGTGCTTATTGCTTCCTCTTAATATTCAAATGGAGTCTACATCTGTAATCGACTTTATTATCTAATGGACGTCTCGACTGATGGTTGCAGCTCACTGGGAGAGAGACAGAAAAGCAAGATAAAGAGATATCTTTCAGTCATCTTAATTGATCTGTTGAGGTCATGTTTCAGGCAAACTGAGGAGCAGCTCTTCAGGTTGAGAGCCACAGTCCTCTCTAAATATGGAATAAATGAGAATTTGTCAAAATGTAAGAAGGCAGTCAATATTATCTTTCCAGCATCTTAATATAATTAAAATATGCAAATGACTTCAATGATAGTCAGAATAACTAGAAGTCAAAGACACTACATGCATGAGACTGTGTGGTTGGTACATTTGATACAGCTAGAAGTAAGGTGGACATCAAGCCTGTCATTATGAAACAGGACCACAGCGATTTCGGAGGATACTGACAACGCTTTTGGCAACAGGTTTCACAGACGATTAAGATTTATCTTTCCGCTAGCGGCCACAGACGAAAGCAGGACATTTTTTCAGTAGCCCTGAGCAGCACAGAGGTAAATGTCAGCTGTGGAGGAAACAGGATATACTGTAATGTCAGACAACAGGCCTGAGGCTGCTTCTGCTATGTGGAATGAATTCCCTTTTCACATTTAATAAGCAGGTTTGTTAATAATAAGTATGTAAAAACTCATGAAGTTTCATGCTATACTGCAATCTTCTGAGCACCTGTGGGTTTTATCATCTAGGACAAGTGCCATTCTGAAGTTGTACAACTGCCAACACTCATGCTGAGTTCCATCAAATTATGGTAAACTGGTAATATTTAGAGTTTCAATGTGTTGCTTTCAGCTCTGCATTTAGCTTTAAACCAGGACAACAGGTTATTAAAGTAGCGGTGACTTCCAAAGATTTTCTTGAGGCAGTTGTTTTGAAGACATCTTCACTGTGTCACCATATTCACCCTCCGCCAATATTCGAATATCTGAATTCACTTTTTCCACAACGGAACAAAAAAAAGTTGTGTCCATGGCATACAACTAACAATCCCACAATGCATCCACACAAAAGACAACTAGAAGAATGTGAGGAGATATTTAGCGACTTTGGTCCAAATTGCATTGAACAGGATTGGCTGACTATACATTTAAATATAAGATGAATAATGTGTTTGTTTTTAAAGTTGTTTATTCGCTCTATTTTCTCTGCATAAACACAAAAAGTAGAACACAACCTACATCAAAATTTCACCTAAACCAGTCAAAATCAGCTTTTCTGATTACTACAGCAACATGTATATGAAGACTGAACGTGAGAATGGATGGTCATAAATTTGACAATAGATCATCGGAGACTGTTTGTGAAATGTGATGTAGAGAGCAGTATTTCCTTTTGCACTCACCATTAAAACAAAACGCTGACACCAACTTTAGCAAGGAGGCCCGCTTTCCACTTAGTTGTGCTGATTTATTGCCGTTCGTCATTCATTTTTATATTTTACCGTGGACACGATAAAACTGGTGGATGGATTTCTCCCAGTGGGTTGAGTAAAGCATTTCCTCAGCCTTTAAACAGAGAAGTGGACTGTATGACACCCCAGAGGCTCCAGTCACACAGCACAATCGTTTTGCTGTAACGGCATCATCTTTGCTTTGACTTGTTTTCAATATAATTACACAAACAAAATGACACAAAAGTTATTACCTCGCTTGGAAGGTTCAAAGGCTTCCTTTCCTTCATCTCTTCTCTGCTTCCCAGTAAATATTCATGTTGCCACCTGTAACCTTTTCCCTTTGTGTCGATGTGGCAGCCATTTTGTTCGTACATTTATTAAGCGAATCAAATATTTTATTATATACTTTGATTATATACACTATTATTTTGTTCTGCCCAGAATCACAATGTCTTCCTTCATGTGCCAATATAAACATTTTAGCATACTGGTGCTCTTAACATTGTTTTCAGCTGCTAAACACTGCTAACTTAAGGTTACCATGAACTAAGCTAACCCTAATAGCGAGAAATTTTCTCTTTGTGGATGGTCTGCTATTTGTTTAGTCCCTTTTTAATATTTATTCTTGTAAATATTTATATAACAGGTACATTAGTTATTTTTTAGTATACTGCAGTGTCCTTTTTCATGTGCCAAAATAAAGATTTTAGCATACTGGTGCTTTTAACATTGTTTTTAGCAGCTAAACACTGCTAGCTTACTGTGTCAGTGAGGAATTTTCTCTTCATGGATATTCTGCTATTCTTCGTCCCTTTTTAGTATTTATACTTGTATATATTTATATAACAAGTACATTAGTTCTTTTTTTTAGTATACTGTAGTGAAAAAGTTGCTTTAACTACTAAGCACTGCTAGCTTTAAGATACAGTAATTAAGCTAACAACAAAGGTGTTAGCTTGGTGTAGGAACTGGAGCGGGGAGTTTTTTAAGGTGAGATTTAGAATAGGGGCAAAAAGTTGCTTTAACATCTAATGCACTGCTAGCATAACATTATGGTTTTAGGAGTATGAACTGGATCAAAGAGCTGTATTTCAGCAGCTTTATTTATTGCCAAGTGTGGTCTGGGTTTATTTTCTGTGTTGTATATTTTATTATGAACCATTAGCACTTTTCTAGTTTGGAAAAGAAGCTAGCAGACAATTATCTAAATGCACATTCAGTGGTTTTCTTGTTTGTTTGTGTCAGAATAAACTGGTATGAATTCCAACGTGATCTTGTTCTTGGTGCATATATCAGAGATGCTTAGCCTCCAAGATCACTCAGGGTGCTGTGTGTGCAGATGACATTCCCTCTAATGGCTTCACTACTGGTTACCACTGAAGACAAAGGCTGTTAAAGGATACACACATTCTCATTCAACTGGAGTCTTTTTCCATTAGTCTGAGAAAGCAATTGATATTGTATAAAGACACACTGACTAAATGAATGTTGGTATCTAATCTGGCTGTATAAATAAACAAAGATTGGATATTGACAGACAGTTTGTATGATATCTGAATGCTGAAAAACAATAGAGGTTTCATAGACCAGCCCACACAGGCATCTCCACACTGCTGTATCATCGGTGGAGAATGGTCTAGCTGGTGATAAAAGGATTCTGTATTTCTCTAAACCGGTCGTCTTGGGCCGTGCGAAGCCTAGCAGTGACCCCAAAATAGTGATGGGGCAGTATCAAGTGCAGGGAGGCGAGCACTGTTATTAAAATGTCATCCAGGTCATGGTTGTTCTGGTATATTAATCCTAGAAACTGGACTTGCTTGAGTTCCTTGAAGACGTTTCACCTCTGATCCAAGAGGCTTCATCAGTTCTGACTGACTAGTTGAGAGTTGCAGATGTTAAATCCTAAAGGAGCCATTAACACCTGAGTTTCGGTTTCAATTGAGGGTTGTTACTCCTCCCCCTCGTTATGTGAGTCATTAGTGCTCCCCCTGCCACAAAGGGGTTCGTTGGGGTCTGTTGTGGCAAGGTGTGAATGTAGAGAGAGATCTTAGGACTGTCCTAAGCCTTAGATCTCTCCCCAGGAAGATGAAACCATCGTAGGACTTAGGACATTAACATTTTTTAGATGTAGATCCCTTTCTTTATATTACAACCATTTTGAGTGATGTCTTCTGTAAACGCAGGATCTTGGGCAGATCTGGCAGCCCAACACATCTGAATACAAATGTGATCGTTACATTGGACTCTTTTGGTCCAATTGTCACATGTTTATTGTAGAATATCTTTAGATAAAAATCAGAGGCAAATAATTCTAGTGCTATGGTTGGAGAAGTTTTACTGAGTCGGTGTAAAGCTCTGAAACACAACTGAGCCATCCAGTGACATGTGAACACACAAAAAGACACTACATTCATGTGCATGTGGAGGAAACCACACTAGCAGCCAAACTGTGAAGGCCTATGTAGCGTTCACACTCCTAGACATCACTGTCTTAGTGTCATCTAATCTGTGCAACAGTCTTTGAACATTTCAGTTAATGTCATGTATGGACGCTCACCGGGGTTTGGCATTTCTTTCTTTATAAAACTGAATGGGTGGCAGGTCTCCTCTACCATCCCACTCGCTTGTTTGGACAAATCAATAAATCAAAAAAAAAACTCCACGAAGAAAAAAACATTGACAGCACCACACATCTTTTTTTTTGTGCCACCATCGGGGGATAAGGCCCCAATCCGAGAAGTCCTGTGTGTTCACTAATAGCTAACACTTTTAGCATTCAATTATGCATTTCCTGGCACCTGAGCAGCATGGGGGAGCCGGTCTACAGTCAGCAGGAGCTGAGTACCTGGTTCAGGGCTTCATGGGAAGAAGAAACCCTGCTGTGATTAGGTGATTGGTTTGATTTGTTTCAATGAGGCCTTGCATTAAAATCATGCATGTGGGGCTGAATGACAACCTCCATGCACATAAATGCTCACTGGAGAAATGGATGAAGGTGGGAGGGGGAGGGTGACCATGATGGCTCTGGTGCATGGCCTAGTTGTACATGTGGATGATGGATGGAGGGTGGGAAGGACACAGTAGAGATAGACAGATAGATAGATAGACAGATAGACAGATAGATAGATAGATAGATAGATAGATAGATAGATAGATAGATAGATAGATAGATAGACTCACATTCCAGGTGTTTCTTCTTGGGGGCTGTCTGTTCATGTGTGGTGGCCTTACACACAGCTCGGGACACCTCGGAGCCCGTCAGGCTGTACTGCGCCGCGGCGATGCGGTCGGTCAGCGTCTGCCCCGACATCTTCTCTCCAGACGGATGGAGCGTCCAACACGGTCCTACCCCCCCAACACCGAGGCTCAGTAATCCCACCTGGATTAGGAAAAGGAGTAGTAGTACTTTCTAAAGAGCTGCAGCTGGTTTAAGTTGCATAACAACTGGAAGTGGCTGATTCCCACTCAGCGTTTCTGGAACAATCATGAACTGACTTTCTTCCCCCTGAAGAAGCCCAGTGATCGTTCAGTGTGTGGGCTAAACATCCAACAGAAATGTCCTACTCCAGGGTTTAACGTGGGTTTCTTTTTCCCTTCTCTTATCGTCGCCCAGCCGCCCTGACAAAAACCCGTCCTCTCCGGATGATGCTGCTGCCGCTGCTGCTGCCTCCCCCCTCCTCCTCCCCTGTCTTCCTTCCTTTCCAGCCTCCTGGATAATCCTCCAACAACCACAACCAGCGAGCAGCCGACCGACGGTCCGTGTGTGTCAGCGGGGCGTGCAGGGGAGCATCAGGCCCTCATCCTCCTCCCCGGCGGTGTCTCCTCCTCCTCCGGCTGGACCGCTCCCTCTCTGCTGGCCCCGGGAGATGAGCGCTTACTGAAAACCGGCTCGGTCGGATGGCGCTGGTGTTTTCGGCGGATTTATTTAATTTTATTTTTTTTTTTTACATCCTGTTCTTTATTAAATTATTAATTTATTTATATTTCTCCACATGCCCAGCCCCCTCCTCGGAGTCAGGTGACGTGCTTTTTCACCAACCCCGCTGCTACCTCAATCATCGCGAGAGTTGAGAAGGGGAGGAAAAAAAAAAAGCGTAGTGGTTGTGGATGTGTGAATCCGTGAGGGTTAATGATGCTCTACAGCCAAGCTTGATGTTCGTCGTGCTGCCTCCATAGTATGAAGGTCGTATGAAGTGTGCTGTTATATATTTAAAAAAAAAAAAAAAAAAAAGAAAAGAAAAGAAAGGCTGCAGCCAATCACAATAAGGAGGAGAGTCTGCATTGTCCCTGTCCATGGTACTGATCTGCTCTGCTGTGCAGTCAGTGCCTTCAAATATAATCTGGTACAATTTTAAACTACTTAATTCATTTTAACACTTAAATTTGATGCTACCTTATAGTATTCTATACCACTGCATTTCAGAGGGACATGCTACACTGCATCTATCTGACTCCTGCATGTATTCATTTCAAATAAGGAATTTAATTACAAAATGCGCTGCAAGGTGGCGCAGTTGGTTACTACTGTTGCCTCCTAAGTCCTAAGTTAGCTGGGAGAGGCTCCAGCCCCTCGCAACCCTAGTGAGGATTGAGCGGTGTATAGATAATGGATGGGTGGATTACAAAATGTCAGCATCTAAAATATAGAATACTGTTCAATAATACACTGCTCAAAAATAAAGGGAACACTAAAATAACACATCCTATATCTAAATAAATGAAATATTCCAGTTGAAAAACTAAATTATTTACATAGTGGAATGCAATGAGAACAAAATAACATAAAAATGATCAATGTAAATCAAAATTATTATTTCATGGAGGTCTGGATTTGGAATCATACTCAAAATAAAAGAGGAAAATCACATTGCTGGCTGATCCAAGGGGCTGCAAGGTGGCGCACTGTTGCCTCGCAGCAAGAAGGTCGCCGGTTCATGTCCCGGTGGGGGCACCTGGATCTTTCTGCGTGGAGTTTGCATGTTCTTCCCGTGCAGCGTGGGTTTTCTCTGGGTTCTCCGGCTTCCTCCCACACAGTCCAAAAACATGTTGAGGTTAATTGGTGATTCTAAATTGTCCATAGGTGAATGTGAGTGTGCTTGGTTGTCTGTCTCTAAGTGTGGCCCTGTGATGGACTGGCGACATGTCCAGGGTGTCCCCTGCCTTCACCCTAAGTCAGCTGAGATAGGCTCCAGCCCCCCACGACCCCAGTGAGGATTAAGCGGTGTATAGATAATGGATGGATGGATGGATGGCTGATCCAACTTCAGTGGAAACTCCTCAAGACAAGGCAAAATGTGGCTGGGTAGTATGTGTGGCCTCTATGTGCCTGTAGGACCTCCCTACAAGGCCTGGGCATGCTCCTGATGAGGGAGGAAGGGATCTCCTCCCAGATTTGGACTAAAGTATCATCAACTCCTGGACAGTCTGTGGTGCAACGTTGGTGGATGGAACGAGACATGATGTCCCAGATGTGCTCAACTGGATTCAGGTCTGGCCAGTCCAGGCCGTCAATGCCTTCATCATGCAGGAACTGCTGACACACTTCAGCCACATGAGGCCGAGCATTGTCATGCATCAGAAGGAACCGAGGGCCCAGTGCACCAGCATCTGGTCCACAATGGGTCTGAGGATCTCATCTCAGTACCAAACAGCATCCAGGGTACCTCTGACTAGCCATGGAGCTCTGTGCAGCCCTCCAAAGAAATGCCTCCCCACACCATTACTGATCCCCTGCCAAACTGGTCATGCTGGAGGATGTTGCAGGCAGCAGAACGTTCTCCACGGCGTCTCCAGACTCTGTCACGTCTATCACATGTGCTCAATGTGAACCTGCTCTCATCCGTGAAGAGCACAGGGCGCCAGTGGTCAATCTGCCAACCTTGGTGTTCTCTGGCAAATGCCAATCGCCCTGCATGGTGTTGGGCTGTAAGTACAAGCCCCACTTGTGGACGTTAGGCCCTCATACCACCCTCATGGATTCTGTTTCTGAAAGTCTGAGCAGAAACATGCATGCCTGCTGGAGATCATTTTGCAGGGCTCTGGCAGTGCTCCTCCTGTTCCTCCTTGCACAAAGGAGGAGGCAGCGTCCTGCTGCTGGGTTGTTGCCCTCCTACGGCCCCCTCCACGTCTCCTGGTATCTCCTCCATGCTCTGGACACTGTGCTGAGAGACACAGCAAACCTTCTCACCACATCTCGCATTGATGTACCATCCTGGATGAGCTGCACTACCTGAGCAACTCCTGTGGGTTGTAGACACCGCCTCATGCTACCTCTAGGGGTGAGAGCACTGACAAAATGCAAAAGTGACAAAGATATCGTCCAGAAAGGATGACAACAGAGACATGGTCTGTGGTCACACCCTGCAGAACCATTCCTTTATAGGGGTTGTCTTGCTAATTTCTTCTCATTTCCACATGTTGTCTGTTCCATTTGCACAACAGCAGGTGAAATTGATTCACAATACGTGACACAATAAAGGGAGGCTTTAAGTAAATTATCTGAGTACTTCTAACCTTAAACAGCACAACTACAGGTTCATTCATTCATACCACTCCCATTATCAGAAAATCTTATTGTGGAGAGCATCAGTATCAGATAACAGGCAGCAAATACTGCCTAGTTTCTCTTTTATATGGCAGCGGCAAGAACAGTTATCTGGAAGCTCATAATGTTCTCTTAGAATGAATGACATTAACATAGTCAAAGTGCTTTTTAAATGTCATAAAGAGAGCAACAGAGCCCACGTAACCCTCCCATTAGAAATCTTTATTTATTAAGTCACATCAATATGGAATGGCACAGCATCTTCACCTTGTCCTCAAGGACTCACATGAAATGTTAAAAGTCATCAAAGCTGCTCCATATATACAAATAAGTAAAATTAAATACAGTAGCTTTTGAAAAGTAAAATAATCATTATAAATACAAAAAAATGTACAAACTATTTTCCCCAGTTAATTTTCCCTATTAATGTTCTTTGATGTACAGATTGAGGTTTTTCACTAGTGTTGATCAGTTATGTGTTAATTCTGTCCCGTCCCTTGCTGTGTTCTCACGTCTTGATAAGGCCCTCTAGAAAGTCTTTTTCCACCATCTCCTCGATGTTCTGTCGAGCTCGACTCCAGAAGACTTTCTGGCTCTCCAGCTTGTGGCCCTCTTTGTGGCCGGGAAAGGAGGAGTCTGTAGGGTTGTGGGTGTAGGCGGGACCTGAGCGGCTGCTGGCCTTACTGTTGAACACCTGGCTCAGCAGGTTGAAGAAGGGCAGCAGCTGCTCCATGCTGCGGATAACGTAGAGGGTCAGCATTAGGTGACCTGGCTCCCAGGACAGGGTTCGGGTGGAACAGTCCTCCTCTGGGTTTTTCTGTGGAAAGTGGGGGAATAAAAAGCTATTTAGTCAAGTAGTAAATTCATCATCCATCCTGCAGGGAAATTAAATGAGGTACAAAAAAAAAAGTGTTCTTTAATGAGCATTTTCCTGAGCATGCTCTTTGTTAGAGGCAGTCATTTGTCTCCATAATTTAATAACCTTTTGTAGACAGAGGGAGTATGAGATACCTTGGCTCGTTTCCTCAGCAGCTTGACCAGTCGGACCACGTACGGCTTAAACTCTCTCTGATGAGTTCCCTGACGTCTCACTTCCAACCCTGAATCGTCTGAAGCCTCTGGTATGAAGGCCCAGCGGTACCTGTAATGAGGCAGAACTCAATTAGAAAGAACACCAACTTCATCTACAATACCTAATGAGCCACCAAAGCTTTAGAAGAGTGATATCCACGTCCTGAGACCGAGCGATTCTTCTAAAATTGTCATCACTAATGATCTGTGCTGCAGTCATCCATCTCAAAAAAATGTCACATACACCGTAGCACACATTTACACTTTTAACCAATTATTATTTTTTAATTGTAATAATTTTTTCTATGATTCATTTCTATATCATGCAAAGCCTAATCGAACTCATGTTGGTTCTGTACTGACATTTGGAACTGAGGCAGGCTCTCGGGAGGCAGGGCCAAGGCCAGATCCAGGAGCTTGCAGGCAGAGAGATAGAGGTTGAGCCAGCGCTGGCTGTTGTATGAGGTGGAGAAGCCGTTTCCTCCAGAGTAAGTGGTCTCCAACCCAGCCACAGACGGCCCCGACGTTCTAGAAATGAACACGGAGAATATATCATCAAAGGAAGCCAGGAGGTAGTTGTATATGACTTGTGTTTGTTATATCACCAGATCATGTACCTTGATATGTCTTCGTCTGCTGTTAGCTCCTGCTCCATCAGTAAGAACACCTGAACCTACAGGGAAACCGACGCACAGGTGTATGAATGAGTGAGTGGGTCAATTTGTGTGAAAGACAACGAAACGAATGAAGGTAGAGTAAGCAAGAGAAAGACAGTCAGTGCTCACCAGCTCAGTGATCATGGTGGGCCACAGAGAGGTGAGGTGTTGAGGTGACATGCGCAGCAGCAGCACTCTGAAGAACAGGAACACCTGAGCATGAAGGATGGGCACCTGAGGCAGGCGCAGGCTCTCCACCAGACGCTCTGAACACACACACACACACACACACACACACAATATAATCATCTTCTTGACTAACATGGGAAAACATGCAGGGTAAAATACAGCTAAGAACTTCATCTGTCAGTATGAATACTTCATGTAGGGCTTTCAGGTGACAGATAAGATATTTATCTATAAGATAATATAGATAAATAGGTGTGATTTTTATTCAGATTTCTGTGGTGAATGTTCTTTCAAATTAAAGGTGTTAACTGATACTGCATGTTTGTGTAGATCCTGGTACACGTGACTGTGTGTGTTCACCTTGTATGTCTGGCAGGTATTTCTGGTACTGGTCGACCTCGCTGCTGTAGATGGTAAAAGCCAGGCGTTTGAGCAGCATGGCCCTCTGCTCCAGCTCAGCGTCTCTGTTGGTGAACAAACTCAGAGAGCTGCTCTGGGCTACAGCCACCCGCGCTAAAGGGAAACACGCAGACACAGTATGACTCTTCCTGCCACAATCTTTGACTTTTTAATATCTACATACATCACATGAGCATTTTTTTTTTGCAGTTGAGTAGGTGATAGACCTAATCTAAGTGGAACTAGAAGTTCACAGTGATCAAAGGACTTTGCGGATGCAGGATTAATTCTGCCCGAGATTAGATACGGAAAGGGTAAAAGCTCCAATGCCCTCTGAGTGTCAGTTAGTGAAGAATATCTGATTAATGGGCTGTGACTGTTCCCAGTGGTAATATCTCTACACCTAAATATAAATGAGACTCTAGCAAGAAAAGGAAACTTGAAGCTTACTCATGAGGTCTCTGAATGTGGTCTTGTCATGAGTCATCAAGTGGTCAATGATCGCTCTCCAGCTGAAAAATTAGGAAAATATTGTTGCAGCAATATCCCATAAACATAAAGAGACAGATTTTAAAAAACAGCCCTCATCTATCTGGCAAAAACATCTGCCGTATTTGGGTTATCATAACAGAAAACAGAGATAAAAATGCATGTACACTTTGACTTTAAAACCTATCTCTGATGTCCCTGATGTACAGTGTCTTCTCAGCATAGGGCAGACACCCCATTAATAAACTGTACTGTATGTCATTTAAACTTAAAGGAAACACATAGTCCTGGTTCTTTCCATGCACAGGTGTGATACTACATTTCAAACAAATACAGCAATATCCAAGTTTTTCATTTGATAACACTATATGGTAAATTTTGGGGTGAATATGTATTGTGGGGGTGTGGCATGAAACAAATAGTCCAGAAAAATGAAGTTAATAAATGTAAGTACTGTAACTGTTTAGAAAGTCTATTCCATGCAAAACACAATATTTCAATAACTCCAATAGACATTATATTTTTAGAAGTTGTAAAAATATGTCCCAGTTGTTTGGAAGAAAATGCATGTACAATCTCCAAATCTAAAATCTAAATCCCCCTGTTGGGTGGCACTGTCAACTTCACTTATCGTGAAATTGAATAATCAAACAACTTAGTGCTGAATTTCATTTTGGGGTGAAGTATTGCTCTGAACTTGTCTTTCTACTTCTAATTATGAAACTAGTTTAGATGTTAGAATCTACATGCATCTTGAGTTAATGCGTTTATATGGAATTATATGGGCTACAGCTGTAAGTGTTCATCTACACAGAGGCAAGGCTCCTCTCCTACTCACTGGCTGACGCAGGAGGAGTCCATCTGGAAGAAGGTGTGGTCCATGAAGAGGTCGAAGGCCTCCTTCTTCCAGGCCCGACGGGTGTACTGGTATCCACTTAGACTGCTTAGCAGTTGGATGCAGGCCCGGTAGCTGGGGGCGTTATGAGCACTGCCAGGACAGAGAGGAAACAGTACGCCTTTAGATAATTTTAATACTTGGCAGTTTAGAGCACTTTATCAATTATTATCCTTCCTGAAGTAAAAAATAAATAAATAAATAAATTTTTTTTCACTTGACATTTTAATATTGTTCACTTTCATACAATTTTTTTGTAATGAAAAACCATATATAACAGACTCATCCACACCTGTGGTTGCGGAGGTAGGGCACTACATAGTGCATGATATTAACCAGCAGTGGGATGACCTTCTCCTTCTCGTCACTGTAGAACACCATGTCCAACAGATGAGCCAGCACCTGACAAATAAATCAGTGTTCATTCAGTCTGACTTACATCATATGGTTTCAGCAAACACGGCAACACTGAGCTGCACCCTTAAAAAAAAGGCATTAATCTTTAAATACAGTTACTTTGACTCAATGGCTGCAACACTACTGCACCAATCTACAGTTTCTGCAGCATATACTGATATCCTGCCTTGAATGAACTCATTGACCTACGAGCTGCAACATTAATGAAGCACAGGCAACATCAGCATAGTTCGCTACACACTGAGCTACAACAGCCAAGATGGAAGAAGGTGGGCAGTGATTTCAATTGTCCACTTCCTCCACAGCATAACTAAACCCTACAGATGGATTTACTGGTTCAATAATAAAGCCTGAGGAGGCAGAAATATGGTCGTAAATCAGCTCAAAGGAGCTCAGCTGGAGTGTGTTAGTGTACTGAAGGATTGTGCAGAATCACAACAGGCCTGGACGTTGCTGGTAAATGTGAGTGAGAGCAGCTTGAGACATAATCAAGATGAACAATGGAAATAACTGCAAAACAGCAGTTAAGTAGAAACGGTTGAGTTACAGACACATGGGTGTTTTACCTCGGCCAACAGCGTGAGGGCGTGAACGCTGTACACTGATGGAGTGAAGCTGGAGGCCTCCATCACTGTGAGCATTAAATCTACAAAACACACACCAAACATTAGCAGCGTCTACATAGCAGATTATAATACTGCCATGGTGAAGCATCCTGAATGTATTTCACATGCTTTTTTGAGAGCAGCTAGCGTATGCGAACTGCAGGATCTAAGAGTTTTGCTCGGCCTTAGATACACTTACATTTAGAATCTAAAACTCAGGTTAGAACTGAACTTTTTGGTTGAATTGCATTCATCTCTGACAATGCAATTACATTTGACTTTCAAAGGATCCATGTAGTCTTCTGTCAGCTTCCAAAGACTTAAGTTATTAGATGTATATATGCCTGTGCAACATCTGATTCACTGCTAGAACCCAGACAAGGTGATAAAATTTGTCATACACAACTGAGCACAGAGTAAACCATTCATGTTAGCTGCACAACTCATAATTCGTGATAGTTCAGGAAAACAGTGTCAAAAAAAAGTTTCAAAAAAGTTAATCTACAACAGCGATCAGTGACACAGCTATTGGCACTTTTCCAATGCAACTATAAGGTTTAAGCAGTAAGTGCTTGTAAGCAGCACACCTTCGACATCAGCTTCCAGGTTGGTTCCATCCACAACTATCTGAGGAGAAGCCTTCACTTCCAGGTTTCTCCTCAACCACGTGGTTTGCTCCAAAGAGGAGCCTGCTATCGTCCCAATGGCCTCCACCACTTTATGTGTCACGTCCTGAATACAAAAATATTACACAATGTTAAGATATCATACTCAATGTGATCATTTAACTCTGGTTTGCTTTATCAATCTAAATTAAAATGTCAAATTACCACTGAAATGACAAATTTCCACAATACTCTACAGAAGGGAAGATACGTAATCTAAATGTAAGACATAATGGATGCAATCACGCGCTGAATAGGAGTCAGTAGTTGCAGAAAATACCTGCAGCTCTCGCTGGTCCTTCTTACTCTCCAAATTAGGGTTCTTCAAAATGAATTCATTCAGAACCCTAGAAAAGAAAAATAAAGGAAGACCCGTTCTAAGTAAGTTTAAGAATTCAATATGAAAGTGGAGGAAGGTGTAGTCACACTGATTTATTCAGACCCACACTGAATAAAACTCATTATCATTCATAGACTGACAATTTCAAGTGTGTATAAACAAACAATTCCCCAAGGTCTTGTGAGGATAAACAGACCCCGTAGGTCAATGAGGAGGAGAAAAGGAAGAGAAACCAACCCCAGAATGAGAAACTGTCCAGGGGCAGGCAGGCCTAACTGTACAGAGTCCTTCAGCAGTGCCAGCAGAGATGGCCAGCTATCAACTAAACTGGAAACAGGAATCCTAAGAGAGAGGGAATAATCATAAATGCAAAAAAGTCTTAGTGGTTCTAAGGCTCTGTACAAGTGTGATATTTTTGGAAAGCAATAGTGGTATCCTGTGCAATAAATAGCAACAAATATGTCGTCTAAATATATGCTGATGCTGGGAAGCAGCGTACTCACCTCTGGACATAGGCATAGAAGAACTGCAGCATGCAGACCTCCAACGAGAGGTGCTTCTGTGGAACAGTGGAAAAATACAAACGTAAATTAAAAGAGTCAAAGAACTCATGAAAAAACTCTAAATAAAACTAAAGGGACTAAATTTAAAACAACATATATTCCTGGTAGTAGTCCTCATTATTACCCACTTCATGTTCTGTGGAATAATTAATGAGTGTGTTCCAGTTCTAGTGCTGTAATGCAAAATTAAAAACTTGAGCTTGTGTTGTGTGACCAGCCAAATCTGTGATGTTGTTATACACTGGCAGCAAATCTTACAGCTCTTCACTGATTTATGCCGAGAGGAAAAAAAAAAAAGATCAAATGATTTAAACTCATGGACGTCAGCAACAAACACTTGAAAACCAACCTTGTCTCTCGCAATGGCAGGCGGCTGTTTCAGGACCTCTTTAACTGTCTGCATAACAGTCTCAGTGCGCATGGCACTCACTGAACGAACCAGCTCCACCAGCAGCAGCTGCTCTTCACTGGCTACAGGAATCACCTGAAAGACAAGCGCCATGAACATGCAATAGGACAAACATAATGATTTAAGAGTGGACTCAGACTGAGACATACTAGAGTCTGGGCATCTCTTGAAAGCAAAGCTAAAGAGAGAGCAAACAGAAATGTGCTGCCATCATGTTTTACCTGCAATACAGTTTACTTCAGCATGCTCATACAAACCACTACACTCTGCTGCTTACTACAGTGAATACAATGTAAATAAAATAGGATTTCAGCGCATCAAGACAATAACAGACATAATGATTAAAAGTGTGGGTGGACATTTTCTTATTTACCTTATTTCGGACTGGAGTCTTGACCTGTTTCCTCTCATTCCAAACGTAGGCTATTGCTGCCATGAAATGAGCACCATGGTTCATGGAGATTGGACCAAGCAGCTCCAGGATCTGCTGACGGAGGTTCTGTAAAACCAATGTCAGCAAGGAGGTGCGATTAGACATAAACAAGTGACAGCTAACCAGGCAAACAGTTCAATCCATACTGTCACTGCTAACTTCCTACAAAAACCTTTCAATGTACCTTGTAGTGTGATGTGTTAGCAAAAACACAACTGCATGCAAAAAGTGCATTACAGTTTACTGTCCAAACACTTCAGGGGAAACACTGAGGGGGCAGTCGAGAGGATGAGTAAGAAGACAGAAGATGAGGAAACAAGACTGATATCATATCCAAACATCCGCATTTATCATATTACGTTACACAAATAAACTGTCAAACATCATTTTTATGATGTGAAGTTATTTGGCCTTCAATTATTCCTCCTCCAGGGACACAGGCCCTATAATGATTACAAATTGTGTTCAGTGCAGAATAAAAATCACCATATTATCTCAGTGAAAATTCCATTTCCACATTTCCACCCACCTTCAAATACAGAGCTATTATTTCAGAGAAAACAGTCCTTTGCCACCAGTAATGAGATTCTGTTCCTACTGACGTGGTCAGTATTAAAATCTGTATGCATTCAGATATTAAGCCAAATTGCCCACATTCTCAGGTAAGCTCTGGGACTGTTTTTCTATTTGCCTTGTACGCTGCACACACCAGATTCTAGGGAAGTGTATCACAAAGTGGGATTAGATGATTATCCAGCTAACAAAGTCAGAGTTTATCAGTAAAACAAAGCTGTCTTAACAACAGTCACTTGTGCTTGCAGGGCTATAACCTGATCCACACCTGTCAACAGCAAAACTGCTGACAGGACGAATAAGTTTACAAAGTCGGAAATAATAATGAGACATCGATGCTTTAATAGATCACTTAAATCAATTTTCTCTTTCAGTCTGTTTATGTTTTACTCTGTTTTTAAGCTATAGGATTTCTGATAGTGTCAATGCTTTGTCATTCTTATTCAGTCATTACAACTCAGAATAACACAAGAAGCCTGCGCAACAATTGAAAATAAAAGCTAAAGATCCAGTTGCCTTTAATTACATAGATAATGCAGCAACTGTTAAATATTTTGAATTAGTATAAATACCACATATACACTTACTCCATACCAAAGAACCATATAACAATTCCAGTACCTATTACAAACCTTATCTTTATCTTTTTCTGGATTTTTTTCATTTTCTAATTACAATTACATCCATTGTAACATCTCTGAGTCTTTAGTCTAACCAAATTTACACACGTCTCACACGTTCACCTCAGATCATAAAAAGCACTTCATTTATGATTCTGCATATGTTGCTTTTAATTCACAAAGCTGTCTCTTCCACATGTTTGTGCTGAGAGCTGTGTAGGTAAATCCAGAGGTAACAGATGCAGGTGTTAACCAACCAGATACAATAGAATCTGAATAGCCTGAACTTGCTTCTTGGTAGAGCTCTTTGTCTGTGGGTGATGTCCTAAAAACTAATTTGCCTTTATCCAATGTGCTTTTTATGGACGCAAAAAGGGGCACAGTCAGGGTTATTATCACAGACACTCCACTCAATTTCCTTATTTAGCCGTCATGACATAAGTTCAACGGTTTGAGCTTTTTATCATGTGTCTAGACTTGCTACATTTGCATTAAAATACAGTATTGTGTCATTGAATGAACAACCATGAATACATAATGCCTGACGTACCTTTGTGGAGCCAAGATTGATGTTGGAAGTGGAGGCAGCAGAGGCAGCGGCGGGCTTGTCGGAGTTGTCAGCCTGGTGGAGGACGCTCCACAGCAGGGTGACAGAAGACATGATGGTGTGGAGAATGGACAAGATGCCTGAACGAGCCTCGGCCAGGTGCTTCTGGTCAACACTCACTTGTAACTGAACAGCAGAATATGCAACAAGACACTCAGTAGTGGTATACTGGTAAGTAATAGGCAAAAAACCAAAAATAATAATGATATAAATCATCCTCAGTAATGTATTAAATAGGGACATGTATTTCTATTATACAATAAAGACAACTTAATTTAAAATTGTTTCACACTAAGTATGTAAAGGGCTGTAACCGTTTACTGAGGTTGGTGCATGGTGCCCTCACCTGGTGATACTGGGAAGTGGGATCGAGCAGGCAGTAATGGATGATGGCTGTCACCCCCTCCAGCACAGTTAGAATCAGGTCAGGAGGGATGCAGAGAGCCATCCACTGGGGTCTAGATGATAGAAGGAGTGTATGTAATTTTAATAACACATGTTTTTAATTTACATTATTCAACATGTCAACACACAAAAAAATCTAAATTTTACACATTAAGCAAACTTACAATATCCAACTGAAAAATTATGTACAAGTGAGAAATTGCATTAGATGGTCAAGGGTGCCATCTGGTGACCAAGCCTCTATTTGCACTTTATTGTATTGTACTGCCCGTATATTATATAGTAAATAGGATCAATCCAAACATGAATACCTGGTGTCAGATAGGCCAGTCTCGTAGCGGTACTGCTGGAGAAGGTTATCCAGGTTCCTGCACAGCTGCAGAGTGACTGAGGCCACCACCCTCCTTAGCACTCTCCCCATGTAAGGAAGAGTGGCTGTGATGAGTCCTATCCACTGGGGATGCATCTTACATGCATGGTGCTGATGCAGGGCCCTGATCACTGCACACAGGAACATACCCTGTGCTGTGATCGGTTGTCCGTGGAGGTACTGGAGTGATGTCATTGGCTGTTGAGGGTTGACATGCTCCACTTCCCCACCAAGGATCTCAAAACCTGCTCCAGCACTGCCTCCTGTCCCTCCGCCTCCTGTCCCTCCTCCGACAGGTCCTCCTTCCCCTCCTTCATCAGCTGGCACCAGGACTCTGTGCTCAAGAACAACTAGACTCTGCAACAGTCTGAGCAACTGGGACTGGACGGCACTACAGCTGTCTATCTGGTCCTCTGAGAGGTTGATTACGCTGTCCTCTGAGAGACCTTCCTCCACCGTGTTCACGTTGACCCCTGCCACCCGCTGCTCGTGCCATTTCTGGGCACTGAATATGGAAGAGAGGAGGCAATGGAGAACCACCTTCTGTACTTTGCACTTAGAGAGGACATCGCTGATGAAACTAGCAAAGCCCTTCGCTGAGCCACCTGTGACTTTGGCGAGCTCACTGAAAAGGAGAGTTAAGACCTCCACACTGGTCAGCTGCATGGCCCGGTTACCTGCCAAGTCCTGAGGGCCTGCTGACACGTGGGCAGAGTAATAGCTTCGCAGGAAGTAGAGACAGAGCGAGATGATGATCTCTAGGTACATGGCACTGCGAAATGAATGGGAGTGGGAGTCCTGGGGGATGGGGCAGTAAAAGTCTTTGCCCATGACAGAGACCCTGTGACGAGCTAGAAGGTTTTGGAGCAAAGAGAGCTGTGGAGTGTAGGTGTTGTTGATGCTGGTAGTGGAGATAGCACTTACAAACCCTGAGGGAGCAGCTCTTAGCATGGCTGCGATGGCTGACAGGGAGTGGAGGGTCCGGGAGGAGTCATACAGCTGAAGGTAGAGCAGGACATGCTGGTAAAGAGGATGGATGTTAAAACGAGGTGGGGCAGTGGATGATCTGCGTCCTGTGACACTGACACCCCCGACAGTTCCCCCAGAGCCGCTGGGTGAGCCAGTGTCACTCTCAATCTCTGATACCTCTCCTTCCCCACAGCTGTACCAGTTCTCTAGATCCAGACTGTCACCAAAAAAGATACTGGGTGGACGCAGTTTGTCAGCTTGATTTGCTGCCTTTTTCTGTCGCTCCTCGTCTTTCCTCTTTGTCTTCTTAATCTTAGGCTTTGCCCCTGGAGATTTGTCTGCCAGCCTCTCCATGATCTTCCCTTTAAGGCTGAGCTGGGTGCTGCTATGGCTACGTTTGCGGGCTTGAGGATCGTCTACTTGCAGGTTGTGGTCTGGGGTGGCTGGATCGGAGCTGTCTGGCAATGTGACGATGGAAGGTGATGAACTGTGGCGAGTGATGCCCTCTTTGTGCTGCTCCTCTGCTGAGAAATCAGCTGTTGTGACAGAGAGAAACTCCAGTGTGCCTCCAGCTAACATCTCTGGCAAAGTTTGGCGATTGGGGCCATGAGGAGGACAACAGTCCAGACGGGGACCAGTGGAGGTATCTGAGGAAGTGCTGTCAGAGTCTGTTTGGGGCCAGTTTTCAGGTGGAGGTGGGATTTCAAGAGAGCCCTCATCTACCAAATTCAGAACTCTGTCAATGAGCTCTTTTATCACACAGGACACAACTTCCTCTATAGAGTCCTCAGACATGTCATCTGAGGAACCAGGTTGTTGGTCTGAGCCATTTGCTGTACTGTTGACCCCCTCTGGTTCCTCAAAGCTGCCATTTTCCACTGTAGATGAATGAGAACCACTGGATCCTGAGCTTTGGGCCTCCACCTGTTGGTCAGCAGGCTGATATTCACCAGCTAGCTGCAAGTTTTCACTGCTCAGGCTCAGTATAGACAGACTATCACTCAGGGGGTTGACAGTGAGGCAGAACGGCTCCATGTCACCTATTACCAGGCCTCGGAGATCCTCCTGTCCAACCCGTTCACCTTGGATCTGACTGAAGTCTAATGAAAAGAAAGATTAAAAAAAAAAAAAAAAATACAGTTAACATGATGTGACAACACTGATGCATAAGACGTTATTATCATCAAGAATCCCCATCATTATCAACAGAACTGAAAAAAAAGAGTTAAAGGCCATTTCTCACTGTCTGAGAAGCCAGAGTCTCTGGTGTAGATGGGCTCTGATTGCTCTTGTTCAGGTGGTTCAGGAAAGACCTGGGCCCAATGGCGCTGCGCCTGTACCCTCTGAATAGAGACTCGATGGGTCTTGGGGTGGAGCAGAAGGAGGAGGAGAGGTTCGAGGACCCGGGCTATGTCATGTCTCTGAAGGACTTGATTTAACCAAGCTCGACCAACAGCACTGGTACATGGATCCCAATAACTCAGGCTGTCTAGCATGATGAAAAGAGATCTGAAGGACAAAGTGACAAGAAGTGAGGAGAGGAGAATAGTGCAGATAACAGAAAGATGAACACATGAAAAGATATCACAAGAGCAGGCGATAGCTGCAAACAACTGCAGTAATGGTAGACCTGTTCAATAAATCAGCATTGATTCCTTGTGCTCACCAGATTTAAACATACCTGTCAAATGTGCGACTGAAAGGAGAAGACTTGGTGATGTTCAAATCTCGCGTTAAATGCCACAACACAGAGAACTTGACGTGGGCTTCCAGTCGAATTCTCTGAAAGAAAACAGGCAAGTCAGCACAAGCAAAGAAAAGTGAGTATGTGTACTTTTGTGTGATTTTGCCTGGTGATGTGACCACTGTGCTGACCTTGTCTCTGTGCATGAGTTGCTGGCTGATTACGTCCTCACAGATGCTGGAAGAAGGAACCAGGTTGTGGAGCTGGTAGAAGAGCTCCACGCTGCGCTGATGGTGCTGAGGTGTTCCTTCATTCAGTTGGTCCCACAATATCAGAGCCACACTCTGAACGAAAAATAGAAAATTAAACAGGGTCGCCAGTGTCACAAAAACAACAAAAGACCAACAACAACTTCATTGTATCCTGAAACCAGATTTGTACCTTGAAGAAGTCTGTCTTGTCAGCAATGTACTTAAGGATTCCCTGAGTGAGTGGTGGCCTGATGACCACAGCCACTCGACCCTGGCTGGGGCTCATGGGCTGAGTGGACTCAGAGCCACCACCAGATGCCACACTCTCAGCAGTCACCATGGCAACTGACTGGGTAAGTCCCACAAGGTCCATGAGCAAGGAGATGGCAACGCCCTGCAGGCTGAAGTCATTGGCAAGGCAGCAAGCATCCATCAGTGTCTGCAGCCACACTGGCAGCCGGACCTGCTCATTGTCTGCAAGAAAGCAGGAGGTACATTAAAACAGAATATATTTATTTTGCACTCAAAAGGTTTATTGCCTTGCATGCATGTACGTTCAGAAACTCCCCTTTTCTCCAGATACAGAAATGCTCTGCTGTGTAAGAATGGCAATAGTTTGCATCCTCTATGGATTTAATGAAAGAGAGAGATTTCCTCAATTTGTTAAGTGTTTTGGTGCTTACCAAACTGCTCTTCCTGTGTGGGTGAGGACTTGAGGTTGCCTTCTGCGATGTAGACAGGGAAACTGGAGCATTCTAGGAAGAGCTGGCAGGCAGCAGTGAAGGCAGCGACACACTCTCTCTGAAGCATAACAGATCCTGTACACGACTCCACATGATCACTGTGCTGGGAGCCCTCTGAAACCGGGAGCCCTAAGTGCATGATCTCACCTCTTTGACCGTCAGCTTTGTCTACCTGCCCAGGAATAATGTACAAGGTGATGAGGCGGGAGAGAAACTGCTGGAAGTGTTCCAGGCAGCACTGCATGACTGGTTTGTCTAGAGGCTTAGCCTGACATGGGCCTGAGGAACGACGGCCTGTTTTCAGTGTAGGGTGGGGATGAGGGGTTCGCTCTGTCTCTTCAGGGCCGTCTCCTTGGTACTGGACAAAATCTGTAAAGCCACTTTCGGAAGAGCGACTGCTGGGTGGATTTTCCCCATCTTCAAACACCTCCCCACTGCCAGGTAGCTCCAGAGTGGAAGACAGAGTCTATCAAGCAAAGTGCAGACAGCAAAGGAGAAAAAAAAAAACACATGTTGCTCAGTAACTACAAATACAGAAAGCATTTTATGCATTTCACATAACAATGACACATTATCCATCTGTCTTTTGCCAGTCTACAAGGCACTCATCACATCAACACCAAATGAACAAAACCAATAAAAACAAAGGTCCAACAAAACTAACAACTGACTGGTGCATGTGCACACCTAGACAGTCCTGAGTAGAGATCTAATCAGGCAACATAACACTTGTATAATTAGATGACAGGGGTGCAAGAAGTACAGTCAACTGTCACAGCAGATGTTTTAACCTGTCACAGTATGAAGAGCACAGGTGAAGCCTAATAAAGGCTCACTCCAATTAAATGTCCCTGGAAGTCATTCCAGTGAGCCAGCATGTACAATATTGTGGGACCTGGAACAGATCCATCGGAATGAAATGCAATCTTAATTAAAATTATTAATTACAACTGTGCTTTCTCTTTTTATTTACATACCCAAAGTATGGGTATCGGATTTGGCAAAAGAAAAACTGTACTTCACATGAGATAATGTAATTTGTCTAGCACCATACACCAATTACACTAATACATATGTAGACATCTCTTTATTATCTCTGAATCTATAAGGCTCATCAGACAACGATGCTGGACACGATATGGCAATACTTGTGGCAGTATTGAATATACAAAACTTTTGTATCACACTTTAAATGCAACTTACATAATAAAGCACCTTGATTTCCAAGGTTTTAATTCAGCATTCACCACAAATATCTTATCTTAAATTGAATCAAATGGCTTTTTCTGAATTAAACTTTGAGAAATTGCAGGGAAATTGCAACATGTATGATAATGCAACACAAAATAGCAGACTTTATTTACACTCCCAACACCCAGAACAAGTCTGTAATTTATTCAGTTAAAATGTGTAATCTACCTAGTAACTATACTATTAGTTGTAATAGTGGAGGTCTCTCATTAGACAAATAAACGCCTGTGCTGTGTTCTGAACACTGGTCTGTATATAGTGAGGCTGTGTACACAGCTGCTGGCTCGGCCCTGAGGGACTTGTACACACTCAACTGTACACCAGGGTCGCATCTTGTTGCAGACAGACTGACAGATTTAAGTTCTTACAATTCTTTGTCGCAGTCATCCTTTGGGGGCCTGAGGGCTTCCTGGGATACAGTTTGATCGAGGCAGCGTGCGCATTCTGGAGCCTGGACTCAGATGGCACGTTAGCTAGAACGGTCCCTATATGCCCCTCAGGGTGGGGGTGGGGGCGTTATAGTGTTCGGGGGATGTATGCAGGATGTTTTCCACTCCGATGAATACGACACACCCTGGAGGCATCTCAGGCTAGTTTACTCTTCTACTTCCTCAGAGAAAAAAAAGGGCTCAGCTGTTGGGTAACCATCTTCTGTCTTTCTAATCGTCCTCTCTACTGCCCCTCACGGGTCTACCTCAATCCATCCTGCCCCTATCCATCTCTGGGCATGGGGCTGACAGACTGAACTTTAAATCATGCCTCACTGGCCTCTTTCACTTAAACAACCAGGTTGCTGGACAAGGACCAGGAGGACCAGGACGGCCAAACGAAGCATTTGTTCTGAACAAGTCTTCAAATGCCTTGTGTCAAGGGAGTGTGGGATGGCAGGGCCACCCAGCCAACTGCAGTACAGGCCAGGAGGCTGGCAGGCGGCAACAAGAGGCCCTGTTCAGGGACCAGGACACACCATCAGAGCCTAAACTGATGGGTTTTTGGGCAATAACTTGGAGGGTAAGTGGGTCACATGGATTTGATGTGTCTATGGCAGCAACAAGGCCTATGTGTTTTTCAAAAGACTTTTTAAAGGATCAGAGACAGAACAGAATTATCAGCTGGAAATGTTTTTCAAAGTCACGGGATAGCCTAGTAGTAGCTTTTGTTTTGGTGCTTGTGAATAGTTTTCATCTCTAACTGACAACTACGGTTTGCAGATACTCTGATCGTATAATTACTAAAGTAACAGGAAAACAACAGCACTTCTCAATAATCTGTGCCTGCTTCTGATCAAAAATAACATTTCACTACCATGGAACATTTTCAAACATTTTCCTCACCCGTTTGTCCTCTGTGTCTCTACTTTTGTCCTTTACTGAATTGGAGGAGTTGCCAGTGGAGTTGGAGAGGCCCTGAGCCTGGGGGCCTGAGGGCAGGGCAAGTGGGGACACCAGGGGAGGTTGCACTTTACTGAGGATCTTGGAGCACAGTCGAAGGCAGTGGGTGAGCTCCCCGAGGCCGAGAGCCTGCAAGTGACAGGTCAGAGCCGCCACCATCCGCAACAGCAGCTGAGGGAGATGCTCTGTCTGGATTTCTATGTACGTCTCCTAGAAATGTTGACAAAAGTTGAAGAAAATGCTCAATTGAGGAATATAAGTGTAAGTACTGGGCATCTGGAAGAAGATAAACACAACATGATGTTGCTTAAGTTGTTAGCTACATCCAATGCTGTTCTTTGACTTTAGACATCAAAATAATTCTAACATTTTGCTTGAATGATTGTTGATAAAAATATGACTCATGTGTTGAATTATCTTTTGTACATCTGGTTGTCAAAAAGAAAATCTCAAGCCCTTAACCAGTGCATGAATACTATAAGTATTTGTCTTTTTTAAACACATATCAACCAATTTTATGTTTTCTTGTTCAAACAAAAATCTTTCACATCCCTGTTCTAGTGCAGTTGCAGATGGTCTTTTACTGTACAACTGATAAACTTGCAGGACAAAATGCTATCAACCACTGTTGGGTTAAGTTTAAAAATATCAATAATCAAAATAATAACTACATAAAAATCACAACATGAGAATGCATATCCAAAAATGTCTTCTTCTCTGTTTTTGTAAGTTAAAATGTAATCATATCTTGTCTTTCATTGACTAAAAATAATCTTTGTGTGCTCAGTCCGAATTCAATTATTTATTTGGTCGCCTGATCATAAAATATACTGGACTTATGAATCTATATGGAAGTACTTTTTACTCAACAAGCAAAGCACATTTTTATGAAACAAAAACAAAAACAAAACTCAAATGACAAAATAAGCATTAAATCATGGAGTACAAATATGTGAGCACTGCAGTAGCATGTAACTGCATGCAAGCTTAACAAAAAGCACATACACACTGGGCAGAGATTTCATTTTCACAAGATCCACACCAAACAGCCAGGGTAAGTTTTGACCACATGTAATGACTGTTATAATCCCATGGGATCATGTTCTTATTTGACATTACAATATGATAACAAGTCAAGTTGTTCTGAAATGATCACTCAAAGCAGGGAAGGGACAAAGATGGCCTGAGGGATGTTGGCAGGACGTTGCAGAAATGTTATCGTAGCCTCAGTGAAGCAGGGTGAGGTGATAAAGCAGGAAAGAGCAGTACTTTACCTGGCAGATTACCCTCATGCTTCTAGTAGGCTTCAAGGAGAAAGAGCAGATAGTTTGAACAGACAGGAGCAAGCAGAGCACAGGCCACACAACACTTGACAGACACACACACACAGGCCCACACACACACTCTCATTCTCTCTCTCACACACAAGAATTACTCACGCACACACACATGCACTCACGCACACACACAAGCTTTTAGACAGGGTAATAAAAGAGTGTGGGATTTCCAAACTATTCAGATTGGAAATACAGTTCAGACAAGCACACGGTATCTCTAAGAAGATGCAAACAATATCTTAGGCAGGGAAATAAACACACAGGCTTTTTAAACCCGTGTAGGGATTGCACACACACAACACACAGATACAGAAGAGACAGGAGGAACACACACACACCCTAATGGTGACCGTAACATCCTGAGACTGGACCCAGAAACCGAATTGAATGACAAATCTGACAACATGGATGTCAAATTGTAAATGTTTGTGGAAGGTACTTGTAGGAAACATAGGGGATTGAAGGAGGAGGTGTGTGAGTCAAGAGGGAGTGAGAGAATGAGAATGAAAGCCCAAGCAGGGGTGACAAAGAACTGCAGGGGAGGTGAGAAAAGATGTGGTAGAGAGATACAGAAACAAAGAGGAAACTTGTGAGAAAACAGAATTCTGTGAAGGAATGAAAATTAAAACCTTAAATAATAGGGTGAAAGAATGACCAACACAGACTAAGGATGTCACAAGAGCTGGTTCATCTGTACTGAGTCGACATCAAAATTTTAAAACTGTGAAGTAGCTGCTGGAGATACTGGGCAACAATAATAACAACATGTAGAACTGCTGTGTTGTTTGTGAGATAATACAGTTAACAACTGTAGTAGCAATGCTGCAAACAAAGCATTCACAAAATGCTATTTGTTTAGGCTAATGCAGCAAAAGCACATAGTGTGACCTCAGTGTTGCTTGAACATTAGTGGGTTACTATCAGTACAGCTGTACGCAACTGTGATTTTGTGTTTTAACAAACTGCGGGTGTGTAGCAGTTCTTTTTATGGCATTGAACTTAATAACGTCAGTGGTATTGGAAGAGACTAACAGAGTTTTGGTATTGTGACATCCCTGGTATCGAGTTAAAAAAAGACAGCAAATGAAAAACTGAGCAAGAAAGACACTCACAAGAGATCAAGAAGTACAGAGAAAATATTAACAATGAAAAGAACAGCATTAAAACGCGTGACAGGAAATGAACACAAGAAATAAAAGTTTAACAGTTTTATAGTAAAATATTTGTAAAAGCAAAGACAGAAAGAAAAGATCAGAAAAAAGGCAAAATTAGACAGAAAGAAAAACAGAAAGAAAAAACAGAAAGAAAAAGATAGAAAAACAGAAAGAACAGAAAGAAAGAAAAACAGAAACAGAAAGAAAAACAGAAAGAACAGAAAGAAAAACAGAAAGAAAAAACAGAAAGAAAAAGAAAGAAAAACAGAAAGAACAGAAAGAAAAAACAGAAAGAAAGAACAACAGAAAGAAAAAGAAAGAAAAACAGAAAGAACAGAAAGAAAAAGAAAGAAAGAAAGATAAAACAGAAAAAGAAAAAACAGAAAGAAAGAAAAAACAGAAAGAAAAAGAAAAACAAAGAAAAACGGAAAGAAAGAAAGAAAGAAAGAAAGAAAGAAAGAAAGAAAGAAAGAAAGAAAGTCTCACCAAGGAAACTATATCCAGTAGAAAATCAACCAGCTGACAGAACTCCACCAAAGAGAGCTCTGGAGGATCTAAGCTTCCAGCATGTCGTGTTGCACGTGTGCTGCTGGTTACTGTTCTCCTGCAACAGACGAATATTGTAGATTATTGTTAGATGATAGAGAATGATGCAAAATGGGAAAAGCATCCAGGCACACATTAGGCTCCGGCTTCCAGAGAGCAGAGCAGTGATTCAACACCACAACGTACCCAAACCAGCGGAGCAGACCAGTGACATTACTTCAAGTAAAAAAAAAATCCCATCCATCATTATCATCTTTATGTTTCTGTTATAAGCTAATTGGTGATTTAAGTGTTTTTAACAGACCTGCAGCACTCCTCAAACCAGCGAGCGATGTAGTCCCACATATAGTATGGTTCAAAAGAGTTGAACAGGAGATTGGCTGTTTTAATCAGTTCTGCCGTCTTCTTGTTCTCTCGTAGTTTACTAGGAAAGAAAACAAAATTAGCATCATGCCATTCATGATTTTCCACCATCTCTTTAACAGTGCTAGAGTCTGTATCAATTATAGAACTGGACATGAGGGATGAATTCTGTAAGCAGATAAAATAATTCTAAGTCCTGTCTTTTTTCCACTTTTAATCAATTTCTTTTTATCAATAAATAACATAAAAATAACACCTGACACATCTGATAATATTTGTCTTCGTTACTATATCATACAGAGGTCAGCTAATCTGTTCAGACCACTTGTGACCATAAGAACCACTCAGTTTACAAGAGGACTAGCATGATGGCTTTGTAGTATTCCATTAAGAAAACTCTGTCTTCTCCTTATTGTACAGCATGAAACTTACCAACAACTGAGTGTTTTTTTGTGATTTGTAAGCTCACAAGAGCTAAGGCGGTTTTCCCACACCATCACCTGTCACTGTCTGACACCATGTATCTGCTTGCATGGCGTTTGTTGTAGTTTTGCTTTTCTTGTGTCTGAGTGATTTATGTATTTGATGTACTGTCTGTGCTTCTTTTACGTTTGTTTATAATATTGTCTTCAGTCCATATTTCTATTGGCATTATTGTTCTTTATGTATGTCAGACAATGCGTAAAATATGCATATAATGGTGTCACATAGGTTTTTTTTTTTCAGAACGTTCATGAAGAATCTCTCTAATGTAATTTTAATCTTATTTTGTGTTTTTAGGGTGACACTGTAACATCTGTCTCCTGACTAGAAAGACCAAATAGCTATTTAGAGCAGTGCACTGTCCTTGTCAAAAACAGGTAATACATAACTGGGGTCACAACAACATTGTCATCACATGGTCCATTTATGCATTATCATAACACAAGTCTGATCAACCAAGAACGGCGAGTAGTAGACTGGACTGACCTGCTGAGGTGTGTGTGATCTTTGCTGAATGGACTCTGGTTTTGGAGGTCCAGCTCTGTTCGGCACTGTGTGTGAAGAGTCCGAAACACCTCAATCAGAACATCTTCCAGGATGGCTGGCCCTGGGGAGACACAGCAGAGTATGTAATATATCCAGAGAACAAATTCACATTCAGTTTATGTTACAGGCTGCTTGCACAACACGTTCTATATTTACAACACTAACTAGACAGTTGGTGTCGACACAATGACACACTGATTACCAAGTTCTGGTTTGTCCAGCAGACTGATTAAGATGCGAAATGGCTTAAGGTCATGCATGAGAATGCTCTCCTCTTCTCCGCCTCGGGCTTTGCCCTGCAAGATCCCCACCATTGCCTGAAAGCACAACGAGACACACACAGACACACACACACAAACCTCTGTTACAGTAAAGATCAAAAATGTCTGTTAACTCCAGAGCTCCTTTCAACACAGTAGAAGGCACATTCCTTTGCTTTTCATCTTTTTTTGTCAGTTTCAGTTTTTTATTATAGACCTAATTTCATATTTGCATTGAAGTCCTTTCATTTATTCTTTTTTTGTGTGTTTCACGCTTCGTCTGCCACATAATCGGCTGAACCATAGAACAGACGGTCCCTGTAGTATCAACCTTCTCCCTGTGGAGGGAGCTCCAATAACTAGCTCTGAGCAAATGGCCAAGGAGCCAAAAAAACAAACCAAAAAATGATTTCAAAAACAAAACTTCCCCTCCTGGCAATTCTCTGTGCCCACTGTTCCAACCCCTGGAGTACCACAATGTTTCACATGCCAGGAAGGCTGGAGCTGTTCTGAGCGTGACAGGACATACTACACTAGAACTGAGAACTGTATTCAAAGCAGAGGCTGCTGGGAATAAGAGCAGGCCGTACAGTATATGCAAACCCCAGAGAGAAGGTGTGGGAGGACAAGGATTAAAGAGGATGGATGAAGTGTGCAGCAGACAAAAGAGACAAAAAAGATCTTCCAAATTTAGGACGAACTCCAACCAACACACACACTTCCCCACAATAAACGTATACATGTCCACTCTCAAGAGACATCAATCAGTGACTACTTTGGAAGCCAATTTGAAACACAAGAAACTATTTTCCATCTGCGACCTGAATATGCAATTAGCTTGAAACCTCACCTGGACCAGCATGTCCTTAGAGAAAGTGTTGAAGTAGTGGCTTGCGTGCTCCTCTGGGTTGCTCTGTCGAGTGCTGCGGGGGCCTATCATCACCCCATTGTTGTCAAAGCCTTTAAAGATCAAAAACATACAGTTAGAATCGCTTAAACACTCAGATGTACACGTAGCACATCCAAGCACAAAGAATGAAGCAAAGCACATAACCGGAGAAAGCAAATGGAGGTTGAATCTGTGCTGAGATTAACTATCTGTGTGATCAGGTACTGCTGTTTAAATGACGTCTTTCATAGTTCACCCTGTTCTTCTTCCTTCCTTTTAACCTCCTTATGGTTTTTGCCAGCATTACTAAGATTTCAGCCAAGGTACAGTAAAATATGTCTTGGACTGCTTCACCCTACAGAAGCCCGTAGGACAAAATTAGACTGGGCCTTCAATATCACTGAACCGTTAAACACAACACCAACTAAATTACAGATAGTCCAGAGACTACTCACGTCACAAAATAATATGCCCCATGGCCTAATATTTGACTCACAGATGAAATTAGAACCACACTGGACTACCTTAACCTCAACGTAAAACCCTGACCTGATTTGTTCCTTATCATTCGTGGTAAATACAGAAGTTCGGCACATTCTAACATCACAGTCATGCCAAGCTGCTTTCGCTACATAGTGTACGTTTGATACATTCAGTGTCCATGTTTTAGCCGTGCTTACACTTACCAGTGTTTTCGCCCACAGTGAGTTGCAAACAAGAGAAAATAAAAGTAAGACGATGACCAAAGCAGACACAAGTCTACTGCATGTTGTTTAAAAGAACAGAAAAAATTGAGGACACAAGCAAAGCACACATACCTGGTGTGCACGCAGTCACAAAACAGAACAGTGTGTTTGTAAAGATTGTGTATCAGGGTTCCTGCCACTGTCCACGTAAAATGTCTTGATATATTTACTCAAAATGGCTTCATTATATGTAAATAATTCTGCTGAAGTAGTGACACACAACAACTTAATAAATGAGTGAGGTAATCAATTCTGGATAGGCTTGTTCCTCAATAAATGCAAATTCTCTTACATACCCTTGTTTGAAAACTTGGAAAGTATCTCTCCATTTCTACAATATCCACAAACTACATGATGAGCAAGAACTCTGATACATTAGCGTGTCAGTACTGTGTCTGTGTGTGTATTTCGCACCCAGCAGCCAGGCGTAGAGTCTGCGGTTGAGGGACATGTCTCTTCTTAAAACCACATGCAAAGCTGCTGACAGGATCCGGATCATGTCAGGGCGAGTGGCCTGAACACAAGAGACCACAACATTTGTGACTGTGACTTATCTGTGTCCCTTTCACGCATATTAATACACACATACAAGCACACACAAGCAGACAGATTATGGGGGGAGACCTACAGATATCAAATGGGAGCTGTGTCCCAGACCAGACAGGTTCAGAAATATTTTGAGGGGAAGGATTTAACAAGTAGACAGCATAAGTCACCGAGCTGGCTGCTAAAGAGGCCTCATAATTATCACACACATGCATCTGCAAACACACAGACATAATAACAACGCTAATTAATACTAATACTAGCCGGTATATCAATATCAGAGTAAATATTTTGGTGTGAAAACCAGCACACATAAAGACCATTATCATGCAACAGACACCTCTTAGGTAGAGAGTTTCAGCCAAATCTCACACACACAGTTTCTTTACCTGGCTCATATGGAAGGGGAAGCAGAAGAGGATCAGGTCCAGGGTGCTCCTCTGCACCAAAACACTGGAGTCCTGGACTGAAGTACTGACCGCCTCCACCTGGTGAGAATAGAAACAATTCACTATTCAACCAATCTACATAAAATATGACACAACCCACTCACACCAATGCAGTGACCCTGGACAAAAGCTGTGCTGGCAGATGATATGATTAGGTCATCACACATCACCCTGCCTTGGTTAAAGATGTGTCAAAAAGTACTTCAGTAAATGTGATTTTGATTCACGTTTACTGACCTTTGAACATTTCATCTGAGTAGGTGCTGAGCTGAATTAATTCTTGAGACTTCTCTTAAAAAAAACAATGGAGAAAGATTGTTTGTTCCTCCATCGTGCTTTAATGCAAGATAAGTTTTATTTAGCTTGACTACTAATCTTGCAGCTATCTGCACTTCTTCCTGGGAGGGAGGGAAGGACGGACAGACAGACAGATACTCTATTCATCCCTGTGGGGAAACTTACCTTCTTTTTTCTGTTTATGTTAAGGCTTTGTTTTAATTCTTAACCAAAAAATTGCACTTGGACAACAATATTGATTACTGAAGCTAAAAACATGCACTGCTGCTAAATAAACTAAAGAAGCAAAATATCTGCATTATTTTTTTTAAGAAAGAGGTGCAACATACTTTCTAAATTAGCACCCTTGCTGAAAATGTCCTGGATGGACAGATGGATAGTGTATTCTGTATATAGCACCCTTACTGAAAATGTCAGGAGTTGAACTATATTATTCATTGAAGGGCATGCAATGCTCTCATTAAGTACTGTCAGCAAAGATATTTTTAGGAATATTCTGTCGTGTACCATGAGCTCGATGTCGCTGCCCATGACGTAGAGTTGGTCTTCCATGGAGAGCTTGCGGTTGAGGTGCAGCAAAACAAAAGACACCCCAGGAAGACGCACAGCGGGGCTGGTCAGGATGCTGCCCCACAAGGCACTGTAGAAGGCCGACTGCTCCACGGCTGAAGCTACCTTCTCCAACAAGGTGTTGGTTCTATGGTGAACACAGAAAGGACACATTTACCAAGGTTATTAAGTACATGCCAGCATTAACCTCAAACCACACTGGCGCTGCAAATGATGCAGTAGACAAAACAAAATAAAAAATGGTTTTATCAAGATATCAGCGTATCCCAAGGTGAAGGACATTTACACGAGATAAAGCTTGACCAAAAGAAATTCCAAGAGGAAGGCTGTTCCCATTGCCAAATTAGGCCCTGGCCATCAGCATGACAACTAAAAGGGATGCTAAAAGAGACACACTTAAGTTCAAGGAAGTCTTTACTCTTTTCAGGTGGATGGTACGTTTGGAAACTGAGGGCTCAGAGAAATCTGTTGATAGACGTAGCTGTGTTAGTGGTACTGTAGTAATGATCATTTCACTGGAAAATCTTTTTGTGAGTGGCCTGTGTCATTTCAAAGGTTTTTCTCATCATCAGTCAGAAAACAATATAATTTAAATGATAAACTACTGTGGTCTACTGTAGTCATCATTTAATATCCGTGAGTTATATGAGATAATGGGCCAACAGTCAAGTGTTGTAGAATTAGCACCGTGTCGTTTGGATGTTGAATGGAAAGTTGTAAAATGACTGTAGGATATGATGAAACCTTAATGTCCTCTGAGAAAAATCAAACAGCAAAAAGTAACAGGAAATGGCATTAGGAGGGTGTGAAAATGATGCAATTTCCTGGTAATGCCATCTGGCAGAAGCCAAATCAGCTCAATAATGCATAAACAAGTACTAAAACTAGAACTGGTGATAATAGAATAATCGCACAAGAAAAGCAAGGTGACAGCACACATACAAACACATAGGCCTTTATGTAAAGCAGCCATTTTGCAATGTTATACTAGAAAATGCACAGGTGTATTTATTAATATTGATTACATGTGGTTTTACTAACTGAGACACTTCAATTAATTAAAGGTAAAATTATTATTATTGTTATTATTATTTGACCTGTGGTTTTCTGGCTAAAATGAGTTTGATGGTCCACTATGTAGAAGATCTATGATGCAGGCCTCATATCAGCCAGTTGTGCCAGCATGACTTAACTGAAACTGCAGCGCCCTCTACAGTCATCTTCACATGGGAGATATAATCATTTTTCAAATGTCTGAGATATTACTCACAATTAGATGTACAAACAATTGTATGAGTGACTTAGTTAAATAAGTGAAAAATGTGCCTCTAGTCTCCAGCCTGGGTGGTTACCCTCTAGCACTTCAGGATGTTTTTCAGTAGATTGTTCTCATGATCATCAGGAGAACAAACAGTTTGTTTGAAAAGTCCACACAGAGACACAAGTCTGAGGCTATGTTCATTCTAAAATATTAATACCACAGTGACTCACATATCTCATGTATCATTCATACCGCAATCAATTCCTTTCCACATTATGCAATAAAATGCTTTTTCCTAATGGTCTATCCTAATAGCCGTCTGTGCAGTGTTTGTCTTTTCATTCCTGCTCTCCTTACCTGTCGTAGTACTCAGAACCCTCCTCCAGACCAGGCAGGACTCCAGTCAGCAGTCCCTGTAGGCCCGGTTTCAGAGTCTTTCCCAGGGGCAAATAGTAGGTCTCATAGAGCCCCAGCAGCACAGGCTTCACAGACATAGCGGCATTGGAGAGTAAAGGGAAGAGCCCAGAGCTGTGGTGACGAGGAAGACACGTTTGAGGTTACACTCTGCTTCCAGCTTAGACACATGTGACTAGTTTGCTTTGCAGGCTCTTGAAGCTGGTAGTGCAGCATTACCTATAAAGAAAGAGGTCCTTGGCCAGCCTCTTGGGTCCAATGATCTTGAAGATAATCTCATAGGTCTCCAAGGCCTTGCGGTGGACACCGCTGGGCAGGGCAGGGTGGAGGCATTGGGCCAGCCGTTTGCCTATTGTCAGCTTCTTAGGGACCACTTGGTACTTTGCATTGTTCTGCAAAACCTGAAATAGGATGCAAAAGTTAGGATGTGGGCAAACATTGTGACGACTAGAATATGATCTGTACAATTCATACAAGGGATACGATTGAAACTGATTTTTTTGTAGTCATGAAAATGTTGCATCGCTCTTACTTTAAACTCATGCAATATGGCTACATATCTACAAAAAGTATTAAATGCCATTACAATTTGTGTTTGTCAATTACAGTAAATCACTGAGGGGAGGTGTAAAACCAACTACATTTATGTGTTCTGGTTGTATGCATTCAGTCTATATGTAAATTCATAATAACACCGTTACTAGTGCAGCGTAAGCCAAGCTGTGTTCTGCCTGATTCTTACTTTATTGAGTTTGCCCAGTGCAGAGATGAGGTCTGCCCATTCACTGGAGTACTCAAAGTTCTTGAGGGCTTTGTCCACAGCTGCCACATAGTTCCTGTACTTGGAGTCACTGAGCAGCTCCACTTCCTCTGCATTCATTCTCCTGGGTGGTTATTGAGCTAATGTACAACACCAGCCACGCATATGTACATCACACCTGCAATTCAGAAAACAGAGGAGAAACGAGGTCAAAAATTAACAGAGATCCTAAGCACACTTTAGCTCACGATGTCTGTTTGTTATCTTCATGTCGGACCTTGAACCAAAAGGCCTTTCAATCAAAACCCGGCTGTATCTGGAGCCACTTTAATAGAGCGAGTCGTATAAATCAGCAGAAGCAAAGTCTGACATGAGTATCCATTACGATATATATTTCATGTGTTTGGGAATGAAACAAGACATCTGACAAAATAAATCATAAAAAAAAAAAAAAAACAATCTACAAAGTTCGGAGATAAAGAAGAGTCACTCCTACAATGCAATCCTTCAAGAACACATTTTGAAGGAATGATGTTCCAGCCAACATATGTCTGCAGACAGGAGCGGAAGAGGAATGAATCTGTCTGGTATTTATAAGTAACAGCTCCAGCATGAAATGGGTTTTTGTTGGCATGCCGTGTTGTTGAGTCCACATGGGTGACAAGAGGCTTTGTCAGGCCTGCTCCCTGGACTACACAGTGTCAACCAGGCTGACACACTACAGCTGAATCTATGAATACTATTAGACTGGCTGCATGTTCTTATTCTTATACGGTATTGTATACGTAGTTTAGCTTAGTGGTACATGCAACGTGACCTTTAACGAGACAGTGCTAATACCATATTAACATTTATCATTTGTTGCTACACTACCACAATAGTCATACTGAGGGATGCATTTTATTCATTAAATGCCAAATTGTTGTCTGAACTATCAACGTGGAGTTTGCATGTTCTCCCTGTGCAAGCGTGGGTTCTCTCCGGGTTCTCCTGCTTCCTCCCACAGTCCAAAAACATGTTGAGGTTAACTGGTGATTCTAAATTGTCTGTAGGTGTGAATGTGAGTGTGCTTGGTTGTCTGTCTCTAAAGTGTTGCCCTGCGATAGACTGGCTGGGATGGGCTCCAACCCCCCCGCGACCCTAGTGAGGATTAAGAGGTGTATAGATAATGGATGGATGACCAAGATGGACACTGGACCTGACATTTTGCAGAATCAAAATAACCTTGCCGCTTCTTGTGGTGGACAAATCATGTAACAGCAACACTGTTACTACCACTTCAAATACCTCAGACTAATTGGTTGATAGATGCACTGATGGCACACACAAATAGACCAATACGCTCTGAAACAAATATCGAAATCTTCTGATGTAAGTGGGACTCAGATTCACATATATGTGTATTGGGCTCTAACCACAGACTTTTTCTGAACATACATGACTTGTCAGAGCAGGAAATGTGACCCTAATAACATCCGCAGTGACAATTACAGTGCTTGAGGAAACCCTATCAGTGAGCCATGGTGCACAAAGCAGCCATCACTAATTCATGTTATTAATCACACCTGCGCTTCTTCTGCTGTCATGTCAAAGTGTCAGCCGTGAAACCCGTCTGTGGCACAAAGATAGACGCCTACAGGCATGTTGTTTTTCCCCTTTACGGTTTCAGACGCATACTTTCACTTGGACTTCGTGTGGTTGAGAATTCAGGGAAGTTTAATGCAGTGAAACAGACGCTAGCTTACACTTCTGCTCTCACTGAGACACAAAGTTCAGTGGTGCTGTAAAGTGCCAACAATAACAACAACACACAACCGTCCCATGTACCTCTTGTACTACACCTATATGTAAACGTTATGAGGCGGACAATATATGTTACTAAAAGCAGTATAAAAACGCCATTACAAGAGGAAATATTCCCAAAATGTTACCACCGTTATGGTAGTAGGCATAAAGGTAACAGTTACAGGGGCTAACAGCTACCTTGTCTCTAGCTAGGTGAGGTTATTACAGCTAACGCAGCGTGTACGACATTTTATTACGTTAAAATCCAAGCATATGTTAAAAAATCTTACCGTTAGGATATAGACGAGCTACTGTCATTCAATCATGTACCCGTCTCGATGGGTAAAAACGACTGACAACGTCAATAATACGACCCGTGAGCTAGCTCTGTTATTAGCAGGTTGTTTAAATGATGGGCCCGGCTCCGCTGTCAGCCGTTCAAGCACGTAAAGGTCCGCTGGCAGGAAGGCTTCGGAAGCAGACACTTGATAAGGATGCTCTACATATTCATTTTGTCTCCCGGTATTGTTCCGCCGCGGATAAATAAACAGTGGTGAGCGCATCAGTAGCTCCCAGCGCCAGAGATACAAAGCTAAACGATTGACAGTTCCCAGACTGCACTGCAGATGAGCGCTACGTCCAACCCGTAGCGTCCCACTGCTCTTCCGCATGGACGTCTTCCGCCTCCCCGCTATGCGGCGGAGACACGGCCGGAAGAGCGAACACACGACGAGCTGCGACTTCAAAATAACAGCAGCATAGTTGAATGAATTTGAAAAGTTGTTCTGTGGCTTTAGTAGTTGCAGTGTATCAATATTTTATCATATGCCATTATTTGTTTGCATGATGGCTTTGACAGATGCTCCTGTCTCCAGTCTCTGGAAGCATACACTCAATGAGCACCTTTTTGTCAATGTAATATTTATACAAGAAGTCTGCTGAACACATTTAGAGAGCAAACAAATCATATCAAAATAGAAGTTTATTATTATATACTATTACAACATTTTATGACTTCACTGTAGCTTTATTATCATTGACATTTAAATTCATGGTGGAGCAGTTTCTGTTTAGCTACAGTGCCTTCCTACAACATTCATCTTTTTCTATTTTGTTTTTTTTCTTCTTCTTCTTCTTTGGTTTGGTTTTGAATTCAATAAAACATAACTCTAAACTGATCCAATGTTCTTTGAGCTCCTTCTCCTTTTCTCTCAGTAATGTTGGGTTATCTTGAAGCTTTATTAATACTAAATCTTTTGCAGGTGCTACAGTACTTATGGAGGCATAAATGCTTCTCCATCAGGACTCTGACTTACAGGACTTTTCCCACTTCACTTCACAATTCAGATATGAGCAGCTACCACATGTCTAACAGTTCTTAGGAAGCGTGCATCTTTTCTCACATGTCCACGGACAAATGACATGTTTTTAAATTACTGTATATAAACTCTACAGTTTGCATATTGCAATTGGAAAATGCAGGAATATGTATTTACCTATTTATTTCATGCATGCTAAGGTGAACAAAGTGACAGATGTAATCATGATAAAACCAAACTGAATTTTGATATGATTTTTGATAGTATTTGAAAGGCCTTAAGGAAATAAAGCCAGAAGTTTGAGAGGGTGTATAGACAGGATCCAGTCAAGTGCTTTAGCTGTATCTATTGTTTTGTGTCTATTAAAAAAATAATCTTCATTTTACCAGAAAAAGGCTCACTAAGATTAAGAATACCTTCTACTTATTTATTTTTTAAATGTTGTACTGTTTTTAAATGTTGTAATAGTTTTTAAATGCTTTGTTGTTTTTAAATACTGTAAAGCACTTTGCGTTGTTGTTGCACATGAAAAGCGCTATACAAATAAAATTTGATTGATTGATTGATTCTACAAAAGCATCCTGGGAAGACTGGCAGCGACACAAGTGAACAGGCCAAAGACATACAGACATGTAATAAAATAAATAAAGTTAACATAAAGATTATTCATGCATTAGATTTCTTTGCTGCTGTAACTAAATTTCCCCACTGTTTGACTAATACAGGCTTATGTTATTGTTCTTGAAAATTAAGAAACATCTAATGTAAGCAGCACTTACTATTTATTATTTTAAAGTCAAATCCCAGTCAAATCATAAACTGATGTTTATGATTTGACCGTAAAACCGTAAAGAAAAAGTGTGGAAAGTGGACGATTTAACAGGCCTTTATTTTGAAATGACTGACCGGATGCTCTTTTCTTACTATACCACACTTTACACCGGTTGTGTAGACACGCTGCAGACAAGCACTAACTACATTCACCACCATAGTAACACTCATATGACTTTATGTTTTCTCTACTTTAATCTATGCTACTATTCGGAGTGACCCACTTTTAATTAGCGCTTGAATCCTTTTTTTTTTTTTTTTTTTTTAATTTTTCCCAAACATCCCGCTGTTTCCATGTCAGACGAGATGCCAGCCAAGACACATGGAGCTGAAGTCTTCTTAGAGCTGAGGAAAAGGCTCCAGAGCGGACTGCTCATTGTCAGGTAAATACCGAGCAGAGAAATACAGCTACGACAGAAAACTGCTCAGTTAGCATCGTCCTGTTTCTGGGCTAGTTTACGGTGCATGCTAGGCTAGCTAAGAGAGTTAGCTGACTTAGCTTCAATGAAATGATGCAGCAGCTTTACCACAGTGGCTCAGTCTTACCTGTTGTATGAGTCAGAAATGTAAACATTCACTTAAGTCCTACATTATTTAAACTCTTGTCAAATGTTAAACTATAGTGAATTCTTCTTTGACTAATATGTTTCTTGTGGTTGGAAATAGCATAAACAAGTGACAAAAGACGTGCAGGAGATGTTAAAGCTACATTTGAACTATTATTATTATTATTGCATTTTCACTAAAGATTTCATGACATAAATTATTTTCTGAGTAATCAAGGCCTTTATTTGCCATCATATCAAACAGTTCGTCTGACAGGCTTATCACTGGGGACCACTCCTCCTTCTGAGGCTGGAGGGCTTCCTTGCCATCTGTCCTGTATTCAGTTCCCTTTATAGTTCATGTCTGGACTCTGGCTGAGACACTTCAAAAAGCTGACATTGTTTTTCATCAGCCATTTTTTGATCACTCTTGCTGTATGTTCTGGAGTGTGATTTTGCGAGAAGATCCACTTCTGCCCAAGTTTTTCTGCGCACTGCCTGATGTTTTCCCCCAGAATCTTAATGTAGTCCTCATCTCATGATGGTTTTTACTTTGTCAAGGTTACCAGAAAAACACCTTGAAAGAATCGGATTCCCACCAGCGTGTTTCACAGTGGAGATGGAGGTGTTGAGTTTGAATGCTTGTTTTCTCTTGGGTTAAGGTTTTCATTGCATCCGTAAAACAGAACCAGTGACAGAAAGCTTTGTCCAGGTGAGCTTTTGTGAAGGTTAGGCAAGCTTATGTGTGCATGTCTTCGAGAAACTAAATCCCCATTGGTCTGCATCCATGGAGAACTTGCTCCGATTCATAAGGATGGCCTTGGAAGGGATCCTTGGATTCCTTCTGGCTTCTTACACTACCATTCTTGACGGTGTAGGGGTCACTTCTGTCTTCCCTTTGACATTTTTCATAGTGTGAAACACCTTGTAAGCTGTACTCTGTGGCCACATAAAAACAATAGGATATTATGGTTTTATAGCCTTTCCCCACTCTCTCAGTTATGACTCCTCAAAATAAGCTCAATAAGCTCTTTGGTTTTAGTCATGACTTGCAGCTGACCACGAACTGACAAAAGACTAATTTGTCAGCTGTTCTCGGTTTATAGTGTATTAAGATGCTTTAGAACATGGTACAAATTACCAGGAGCACTTGGGATGGTACAGAGGCTGCATTTTGATGAATATGAATCATTTTGGACAAAACATTTTTAAAACATAGTAATAGCTCATATGTAACAAACATTTCTAACACAATGTCTTCCTGTCTTTTGTCACTTCTCTATTTCATTTCTAGCCAGAACCAACCTATTCAGTGTCTATTAGGTGTTCAGATGACAGATTTGTCCTTGTTGTTTGTTTTTATTTATGTGTGCTGCTGTAGCTGTAAACGAAGGTCTGCCCTGTTTCTGTACTGCAGTCATCGAGGATCTACTCTTAGCAGACCTCTAGAGCTCTCTGACATTTAAGAGCATTGTGTGCAGGAGAAAAAGTTTAATAAACATGGGCCCAGAGCTTATTGGAAGTGCATGTAGTACATTTACAACATCACTAGATGGGGCTAATGAGATTTGAAATGCAGCTAAATAAGTCCTGCTTCTTTGCTCTCTCTCCAAGCGCTGAATTTATAGTGAAGAGGCAACTCTGCACTACGTAGAACTACATTTTGTGCAACTGTACAGTCCTAAGATCGCTCAGAGTAGAACCGTATACTGTACAGTACTGTAACGAGTTTGTTTTCACTTGCTAGTGGTGTTAATAAACTTTATCATTATTATTATTCAGCTTCCTTTAGCTAAGACAACAGCATCCATTCGGCGGTCAGGAGTTCTTTTGTAATAGTTCTTTAGTGTATTACAGGTTTCCACTGAGAGTACCTGTTCTAGAAAACAACTGATTGTGTTGTGCAGCCGAGGCTCGCTCATTAATCACTGTGCTGCTTGAGACTTTGGCTAATTATAGATTCTCCTGAATCCATGTGCTTTTGGATAAGGGACTTGTGCAATATAATTTCAGGTTTTGGGGAAATTGACGCTTCATTTATTGTGCATTATACTAATAATAATAACTTTATTTGTGTAGCATCTTTATGAACAGTAATTCACAAAGTGCTTTGACAGGTAGAACATAAAATACAGGTAAAATATCAGGCAGGACAGGGCAAACACGGGTAAAAACTAAATAAAAAATAAAAAGTGTATGCAAACACATGTAAATAAGCACCGTAGAAAATGAAAATGTACAGAAAGGATAGCTAGTTAAAAACTGGTTAAAAGGACGGCATCACATGAGGGGGTTAAGAGAGAAGCTGAAGAGAAAATCAAAGATAAAAACTAGATTAAGATCAGGAGGTTAGAAAGAGGGACTACAAGCAGTAAACATTTTAAAATGTGTAAAAGGGCAGAGAGTGATAAAAGAGAACTTTACGTGAAGGTGAGTCTATAAAGTGGGTTTGAAGAAGTGATTTAAAAGAAGTTACTGATTGAGTGACAAAAACAGAGAGTACAAAAAGATGCAAGTATTTGAGCGACTATTTAATTTTATTTTATCTAGGAAGCTGTGATTTTTTTAAAATAATTATCTGACATTTTTAAATTAAAAAAAAATCAGCAGATTAGTTGTCAATCAACGTAATTGTTAGTTGCAGTCATTGCACTGTTAATAAAGATGGATGACTCCTCTGTGACGTCACCCAGACGTCTCCTGTGTAGAGATTTTGAAGCTCAGTCACCATCTTGGCAATGACTGACTCTGCTTAACTTTTAACTAATGCAAAAATGAGCAAAGCGGTGAATTAAAGTAGAGCTGAGGCTGGCCAAGCAAGTGTCTGTTGTGTGAAGGTACCTAATGTCACTCAATGTGGCCACACTTATTCTGCTCAACTTTCAGTTCACCTTTAACTGAATACAATTTAAACAGGTGAGTTTTGTTAGAATTCCCCCCCATACAGATGTCATGACCTGGGAAATTAGGGAGAGAGACCAGAGTCATGCTTTATTATGTATTTCTGGTATCAAGTTGGACATTTTATCATGACAGTCTGAGGATTGATGCAAGTTGAAGCCAACCTCCAGAAGCCATCTGAGGAACTGCAGTTTTTGGCTCCTGCATGTTTGCTCCATGTTTAAACCTCTGTAGATTGCAGCTTCAATACATTTCTGAATACACTCGCTTCAAGCAGCCATAGAACCAAAGACGTAATTTTGAATGATGTTTGTGTGAGTATTGTGCCTATTTCAGATTTGGATTTTTGTCTGAATATGAATAATATATATAATAGTCTTTGACTCAACATAGTGTTTATTTAAGTTGAAACCTGTGGCTACAGTTTATTTTTATAATCATTTAATCTGCCAGTCAGTTTATCAGATAATTGTTTTTCCTTTAAAAATGATGTAAATAATGCCCATTCGTTTATTTATTTACTTTTTTTGCAACTGCATATGGTGATGTACAGATTGCTTGTTTCATTCCATCAAAGATATTCAGTCTCACTCTTGAGAAGCTGGAACCACCAAAAATTTGACACTTTACTTAAAAAAAATAAAAATAAAAAGACCATTAATTAGTTATTAGAGGTTGCTAATTAATTTAAAGCTCTACTGAAGTGCTCATGTGAGGCGCTGAAGTGATAGATGCACTGAGGTGACGACAGGCCAAGCAGACTTTGTGCTTATTATTTTAAACATGCTTTATCCGGTTTCCAGGAAAGACGTGGCTGGAAGTCCTCCTAATGTTGTTGTGACAGGCGGAGATTCTTCTCTCCACATCCGGACTCCCAGAGGTGAGCTGAGCCTGACTTTGCCAGCAGGAGTCACCTTCGAGCAGGGATCCTGCATTCAGACGCCTGCGGGAGCATCCAGTGAAGACGAGCTGCATTTCAGGCTGCGCATACATGTCGGGCGAAGCGCAACTGAAGGTAACGTACTGGACGACTACTGTACAGAAACACATCCAGACACGTGCATCCTCCCTCTGGGCTTCTCCGCTCTTCTGTGCCAAGACAAGAACAAAGACTTTTGGTGGCTATTTAGAGCTTGCTGTCTATTCTGAATTAATTGGACTGAGTCACTTGGTCACCTGAGACAACCAAGGTGTAAATTTTGCTCTCAGGATCCTCAATGGCCCACAAGCAACTAATCATCAGCCGTGAGAAAACTCCCTTTAAGTGGTTTGAACTGACTTCATCTAAAGTGTACCCCAGAGTCGTTGCATAACATCCCCCAAACTCCGTCTTTTGGCATTTCCCGAGATTGTTTGTTTCACTGCCGTCGTAACAGAAAGTTACAGCTAAGGACAGCCAGTGACAGTCCAATCAAAATCAGATTGATTGCTCGCTCTCTAGCCAAGCCACCTTCGCCACCCTGTATTTTATCGATTTTGTGCTCAGTAGTAGAAGGTTACCACCCTTTCACCAAATCTGCCTCATTTGTTTGTTTGCCTTTGGCCCTCCACAGAGGCCTGTGACAGCGGGATGGAGACACTCCGGGCAAAAGAGACTTATTGCTTCTCCTGCCAGGGCTGCATGAGCAGGCTGCTGGAGGACAGGTGAGGAGCAGACGGGACGAGGAAGAGCATCAGTGGGTTTTTATTTACACCCTCCTCCGCAGGAAGACAAGCGACTGTTTATTGATGCTGTGACCCAGTGATTGTCTGGGAGAGAAAAATTGATGTTGGGAGCCTCAGCGGAGTCCACAGTTGTCAGCCTGACTGGGTTAGAGTTATAGAGCCTGTGTGACGTAAAGGTCTGCGCCACTCATTAAAAAACAATTGTGTTTCGTACCTTGAGGTGGTTTAGCTGGACAGTGGTATTGTTCTTATTGCCTTGTAGCTTTCTCTGGTCAGCAATGTGACATGCTGAAAATTGCAATAGCTGCATTATGGAGCCCCCTCGCCCTCCGGCTGGGTTCCTCAGCAGTAACCCACTAAAAGCTGCCACAAACTTATTTTTGCTTTCAACAAGGTCCAGGAGAAATACAAACATCAGGAGAAACATTCTTATTTCAACAACATTCTGCCTCGTTATGCTTTTTCACCAGAGCGCTGTAAGTTATTAATGGTAGCAGTGACTGCAGTCATCACAGAGTGCCCTCTGAAGGAGCTCTTTGTATAACCTAAAAAACACACACTAAATGCTTTGCTGGAATGAAATGAAAAGCAAGTGTTGTTTTAAAGCTGCACTATAAAGTACTTTTTTGTTTTTTTTTTATTTACGACAGATCAAATGACTTTGCAATGTGTGACGGGCTGCTCACAGTGATCCCACAGAAAACCCTCAGGCCCCCTCAGCTCTGCACAATCTTTTAGCATCTTTTAGCTCATTGTTTTGGTTTTGGGCCAGCTGGTCTTAGCGCAGAAGCTCTAGCAACCAGCAGACAGTTAAAGTTACAGAACAAAGTGAAGCCTTTGGAAGCTAAAGAGCCGGATTATTGCCTTGAGGAGTATGAGTGTGAATATTTCATTCACAAAATGGTCAGAAGCATGACTTCAGATGAATGTTAATGCTGCTTCATGTTACTGTTTACTTAAATGTGGTCTATATTTGGAATGACCTACCCCCCCCTTACTTTCTGTTGTCATTTTTTTGTCCAGTTTTTCTCTTCTGTATTTGATTTTCTCAGTCCTCAGAGAACTCTGTGCTTATTGAGAGATAACACCTCTCACTGCAACACCAACCAATTAATAACGTTTCTAAATATCACTTGACGATAATAGAGAGAAACCCTGTAATTGCTTTTTTTCCTTGTTTTCCCTCTCCTTCAGAGTGTTTAAGCGAGTTCTTCCTCTTCCTAATGGCAATTGGAACACCATCGTGGACGACTGGTGCTGCCACCCGGATCCATTTGCTAACAAGAAGCTATTGCCCCGAGCAGAGGACTGTTTAGTGGGCGACACCTTCGTCCTGCTCGCTCAAGATGCCAGCTGTGAACAGACTCTGACCAAGGAAGTGAGTCCTGTTGGCACAGAGGACAGACAAGACCCAAAGGTGAGTGAGGGGCAAAGGAAAACAATAGTTTGTCTATTGTTGCCTCTCAAGCAGAATGTGTGGTCTAGTTTACTCTGGTTATTGAGTTCCTATGAAACATTTTTAGACGAGATTTTTTTTGAAAAAAGGCAAAAATTGGACGTGTTGCTGTATCATACAGTGTACTCACCCACACAGACACTCTCTCCTCAGACGGCTGCATCAGTGAAGTCAAACTCTAGCACTCTGTAGATGAGGATTGATCTCCCTGTACTTCCATTAGTCATTCTCCACACGACGGGAACTCTTTGCATGACTGAAACCGAGAGAAATAGAAAGAGAGGCAAATAGAAAGAGCAGGAAAAACAGTCTACCTGCTGTATAACTCTCTCTGGCTCTCTCGTCTTCGTCTGTCTGCCACCGCGGTTACAGTGGCTATTGATTATGGTTTTAAAACAGGCGAAGATAAAGATGCGTTGTGTATTGCAGATTTTGTTTTATTCCTTGTAATGTGTACAGAAAACCTGCCGCCGACTGGCACTCATCTCCTGTGCGAGTTGTTCTTCAGTGCTGGGAGAGGCTGTCGAGCCAGGTACAAACCGTTCCGACAGATTTATAGAAATGAATATAACTCTTAACGGTGCACATGAGCCTGTCCCTGTTGTATCTTACAGAGACCCTGAAGCTGTACATCACACAGGTGGTGGTGGAACCTGCTGTAGGAGACAGAAAACTAGAAGCTTCACTTAACAGGCATGTTTCCTTCCAAGAATTTGATGGTGACAATTTGCAAACTTGCTGTTAAAGCAGACTCTGTCATGGGGAAATAAATAAAAAGAGTCTGTTATATCCAGGTGATGTAGGAGAAACAAGTCACACAGTTTTTGTTTTTTTTCTAGGTTCCTCATTGTGACCACTGTCCTACATTTTTAGTCCTTCACAATAAAATCAGTACAGGGCCTATAAATCAGTTCAGGTTCATTTGTATGTTTGTCTGAAATATCTGATGTGCTGCCGATTGGATTTTTGCTGAAACTTGGGGGAATGAGGCGTATCAGCACCGTGTCCAGGCTTTTTCACATATAATTACGATGTTACAAATGTAGGTCTGATTAAACATTTGAATCCCACTGTGCAATTCTGAATCGTTTAAAAAAATCTTTGCACTGTTTTTCATTTTGTTTGTTTTTTGCAACCTTTTCATGAAAAACATTTATACATTTCATAACGTTATGACTTGTGGTACAATTTTAAAGCTTCTCCTTGACATAATTCTTCATAATTTGGACTCTTTTGGTGAACAGGAAATGTCATTTTGCCAAAAGCCACAGTACATCCCACTCTGTTTCACTGTGCATGACCAAGAAGATGAAATGACTGACAGTTAGCATGCTGTGCAAAGACAGAAAATGTAGATGAGTTAAATTTGTGTCTTTTGGACAGATCTCTCTTCCTGGAGAAGACAGTAGCAGCCAGGCTGCTGGAGCTGTCCAGCTCACTGAGCACCTTCCACTTCTCAGTTCAGACTCCTGATGGAAAAAACTTCTTACTGGTAAGAACCACCCCCCTGTAATCAGCGATATAAATGACATTTTATTTAAAATAGAGCGCTCTTTTGTGTGAGAAATGGACATGGATTTGACATGGCGGGCTGTTAAAGAGGCAAGCAAGATGATTGACTGTGATTTGAGAGTTGTTGAGCTCGCTGCTAGGCTTTTAGCTTCTTTTAAATCAGCTACAAGTAGATTATTACAATGGCCCACTTTGAAACCACAGTAACACTCCGCTGCACTACAAAGAGATTGCAATTACCCTATAAGTTATTTTGGGCACCACAATTTTTCCATTTTATACCACAGCTTTGTGTAGCCGTAGTTGTGTTTGTCAACAGCAGCATTTGCCCGTGTGATTGGTACGTTCACACACCCACACAAACACAGTGCACGGTTCTGGTCTGACCTTCCAGTGGGGTTCAGTGTCTTGCCCAAGGACACTTCGACATGTGGACAAGTTTATTATTAATATACTATCTTACCAGAAGTTTAATGTGATGACCATCTGCACAACAAAAATATCCCAGAGGTATTTCAGCTTTACGACTGTGTTCCTGGCAGACTTTAAACTGTGGGACATTAAAGATTTTCAGGAAAGTCACGATAGCCTTAACAATAGCATTTATATTGTGTGAAACTGGCCAGATTCCATATGAGAAAAAAAGAATAATTACAAAACCATTTTCCCCCCCTTCATTATTCATCTAAAACTCATCATAAATTATTCATAAATTATTTCAGAAATTAGGATAGTAGCATAAAAGTAAAATGATGTTAAGCGTATTCATTAGGCTTCCCCAGTTAACCTCAAGCGTCACGCTGCATAGAGTTCACACACGATGGCGTGCCGTTCCTTCCTCCTTCGACTGTGTCTGCAGTGTTAAGTGACCCGTCTGCTCCTCCTGCAGCTCTGGCTGCTGAACAGCGACTCCATCACAGTGTCAGTCCCAGAGGCGTGTTTCGGGGTTGAAAGGTCCATCAGCTCTCCCGCTCCTCACAGTCCATCACCCAGAGCTGCCAGGGCCCTGAAACTTCTCTACATCTCCTGCTCCGATACGGGCTTCCAGCAGAGAGAGTAAGTGAGGACGCTTACCATATCCTCTCCCCCCTCCTCCTATCTTTGTTCTCCTCTCCTTCTTCTTCCTCTTATCCTTTTATCTTTCCTCTCAATCACCACCTGTCTCAGCTCACTGCCAGGGATGAAAGACTACTTTGTTGGGGAACAGATTTAAGGTCTTAATGGAAACACTTGACGCTAAGGGTCCCTGCTCACACATAATTGTCTATTATTTTGTGAATTAGCTTGCCATCAAAAACTGCCTTCAAAGTTGTCAGTTGCATAAGCTGCATTCGTGTTTGTTGCACATACAGGGGTGTTGTTTTGACTAGAGCGAGGTTCTGTGTACCTTGCTGTGATGCATTAGAGAAGTGTAGGAGGATGTGCTGCATGTGGTTCTCCATGTTCAGTACAGCAGCACCCCACTGGAAGAGCTTTCCACCCTCATTATTTTCAACTGAATCAGCACTCAGCATTTTTTTTCTCTCCTCCTCCTCTTCTTCTTCTTCTCCTTCTTCTTCTTCTTCTTCTTCTTCTTTCCTGCGGCCGCGAGGAGTGAAATCAGAACAGAGAGGTTTTGTTGTTTCTAGCATTTTGACAAGCCCCCCGGCTGACTGACGGAGAAAGGGTAATTAGAGGCAAAACTCACACAAATGGAAAAAGAAGGCTAGTCTTCTCAGTCAAAGCGGTAAGAGTGCAGCTCAATGACATTATGAACTGTATGAGCTGAGTGCTGCACAAGAACTCTTTCACCATAGGTACATGTTGGGTACCACGTAAGATGTTGTTTTGCTAAAACAAGCTTTGACAGCAACTTTTCACTGGAGCGCTGCTGTTTTTGTGAAACCTGGATAACAATTAAACTGTGGACTCCAGTTTTTCAGTTATTGTACCAGTCATTTTTATAACATAGAGTTAATATTAACCCCTGCTAGGTATGAAGTAATAATATCTGCTCTTGCATATTTCATATAAGCTGTTTGAGATCAGTATGAATATACATTTTTGAGTGCTACATGGGTGACATATTGATGAATATTTACATTTACATTTTTTATTTTTAGAGCAGATCTGGTTATCTTTTCAAAACCAAATCCTTATATTGCTGTACTCTGATGTGTTTTGTCCTCTTCAGCCTGCTAGTGGGGCAGTGCTGCTCTACTTTTACCACAACTCTGTAAAAAAAAAATTGTTGGGTTGCACCAATGATTCAGCCTGATCTGACACCCAGGTTGGCAAAATACACAGAAACTCTGTAGCTAAGATATCAAATTGCATCACCTATCAATAAATGCATGTACGTTGACAAGTATAGTGCTACAATCAAAAATGGATACTTTGGAGTGACTATACTGAAAATACAGGCCAAAAGTAAAAACTCAAAGCAACAAAGCCTTGTACACCTGTGGTTTTCAATTAGTCTAACTGCATAAACATGGTTCTAAAACAACACTAGAAGCTTCTCAGTTTTGAACCTATGGGCTAGTGCCTATCTACATATCTATATCACAGCTGCACATGGAAAAGAGTTGCCAGAGGAGTTAAGAAATCTGATTGTGTGACTTCACAGAGATGGAGAATGATACAGGAAGACTGGGGAACAACTACTGGCGACCTGTCCAGGGTGTCCCCTACCTTCGCCCTAAGTCGGCTGGGTTAGGCTCCAGCTCCCCCGCGACCCTAGTGAGGATTAAGCGGTGTATAGATGATGGATGGATTGATGGGGAACAACTAAAAAAATTTGTCAAAACACAGTTGCAGCAGTAATCTGGAGGTATAGAATGGGCTTTAGTATCAATAATCAGAGCCGCAGTGGCTGTCCTCTTAAAAGAAACAACTGATGCATTGATTTCACCATCTATTTCTGAAAAACAGAAAGACAAGGGCTTCAGACTTGGCATAGTGGTTATGAATAGAAATTGGAGTTTCTGTGACAGCTCAGACAGTATGGAGGATATTTCATACCGTGAACCCCTATAGATGGCATCCACTAAAAAAAAACATTGCTCTTAGGTACTGAACTGCAAGAGTAAGCTGTGTTATAATACATGAGTAGAAACCTGATGAAAATTTGGAGCACATGCTTTTGTCAGATGAGACAAGGATGAGTTTGTTTGATTTACATGGAGTCCAGAATGTTCAACATGAGCCTGGTCAATACTACCACAGTGAATGCATGGTCCTGACGATGGAGCATGGAGGTACGAGTGAGATGATATGGGGCTGCATGTTGGGGTGATTATATTTAAAGATGACACCTTGAGTGCCTGTGGATATACCAAAATTAAGGTTAACAAGATGAGTCCTAGCCTGCAAAAGCTTGACAGAAGAGGAAAAATATAGCATGATAACAATCTAAAGCAAACTGCCAAAATCACACAGCAGGTTCTAAAGAATAAAGAAAAGTATGTAACCTGACTTGAATCCAACAGAACACCTTTGTAGTAATTTAAAGAGAAAGGTGAAGCAACACAATCGATCCAGCAAAGAACAGCTGAAAAAAAGAATAGCAGAGCGTTCCAGCAGAAATTTGGTATCGTATATGCAGAGGAGAATTAAGTCTGTCATTAAAAATAAGATTGGATATACGAAGTTTTGAAAAAATGCATGATTTTAATTTCAGTGATGAAACGTGCACTGACTCTTGTTACATTGAGTTCCTTCTGTGGGGTCTGGATTTTTCTTAAAGTAATTTGAAAGTGTTTGAAAGAGCAAGTATCCTACTGTTCAACTTATAAATAATGCAGCTATTAAGATCTGAGACAAATTGAATTTGACATTTAAGTAATATGATAAAGGGATTTACTGACTTCTGTTGTGTGCTGTATCATGTTAACAAATTAGTTGCCACCATTTAGAAGGTTACACCTGTTATTTAATGTGTCCCATATTTAATTGAGATTTGAGTAAACAGGATTTGCTCAAATGTAAATTTAATGAGATGTAAACGAGGAGAGGGGACACATAATCAGCATGTCCCTAATAAAACCGTAACATACATAAACATTTCTGATGAGGATTCATGCTTTTCTGTTTTGTAGTGAACAAGACATTTTACCATTGGAAAACTAACATGTCATTTCTCCGAGGTGAAGAAATAACTATTCACACATAATGTTAACTGAGACAACCCATATCAATATGTCTAGTTTATCAGTCTTTCCCTATTTGCTGCTCAGTGTTTAAACCTACAGTAAGGATCCCTGTCAGCTATAAGACAAGCTTCACATTAAAAGTCTTGATCGCTTCACTTTATAGCAACTGCTCTTTTAAATTTCAACCGTTTCAGACTTTTTTCTGAACTCTGGCAAAGCTAAATGCTGGTGTTACTCACACTTCCATTTCCCCCTAAATAATTTACCATTCATCCTTCATCACTCATCTCTGACATTTTTAAATTAAATGTTATGCCTGGGGAGCTGAATTCCCATGATGATGGCCCTCTTATTCGGGATACAGTCGGCTACAGTTGACTGCGGCCAGAGGTTGCAGTATGCGTTGTTAAAACTGCCAGTAATTGGCTGGAGAATCAGTGAGCCAGTGCCTAAGTGGATTATGCTTGTCACTAATGGCAGTGACTTGATTACGACTTGAGTGAAAGTCGGAAGCACCATCACAGTCCGGTACAGTGGGAAATGGTAGGTCTCATAGGTGTGGAAATTTAGACAAATGGAAATTATATGCACAACTTTTTTGTAGGATTCATTGTACCATACTGTATGATTAGTCAGGTCCTGCTTTTGAGGACATCAGCTACATTTCCAAGCACAAAGAATTGTGTTGTTACCTGGTTTGAGATCTAGATTTGCAGCAGGTAAACCTAACTGAGACTAAAGCCTAGTCGATATCTATAGACCGATGTTACCAGTCAATATTGTCCTAACACAGATACACATGTATTGGCGTATATTTAGCCCAATATATGTCAAAATGTTGTTTTTACTGAATAAAGTACAGAAAAAGATGATTAACGTAATTTTTAGAAAACTACATAGTTTATCCCACCAGAGCAGCTCCAACTCCATGATTTACTTCACTCTCAGCACCGTCTGCAGCACATGTAGCAGAGCACACATCACAGATAAACAGTCAGTGGTGCGGAGTCAAGCTGTGTCTTCACCATAAGTCACTACCTTGGGTGTGAAACACATTGTTGGAAAATATTGAACAGTAGCCCAACACACACACAAACACACACACAAACACACAATATACACACAATACGTACCACAGTAAAAATTAACACCACAATTAACTTTTGCACACTGTGTGTTCAGGCTTAAACTAAATTGTGATATTGAATAATAGGATTAAGGGTTTTGTTTCAGTTTTTCCATCTTGCCAGTTTAACAGGAGACACATATTTGAGGGGATTTCATACATAAGATTCTCTAATATTACTCTTTCAAATGTCCCTCAGTCACGAATATAGAATCTGGCCACCCCTGACATGGAACAATGCATTAAGACATAGTGGCACACTGTCTACAAGCTTGTTGATGGTGTCAATGGGCAGGGCGTTCCACTCTTTAGTCAGATCCCAAAGTCAGAATTGGTTTCACCTGGTAACTGGGACTCAGTATGTAATCACTGAACCTGGTCAGAAGTGATTACTGCTGTGTATAAATAGAAATAAAAAGAGGAATGTGTCAAATAGTAAACATAACACAAACATATCCATTAGTGCAACAGAAGTGTTTTTGTTGTGTGATGTGTTAAGTACAACTGCCAAAACTTTGGAAAGACTTTATCCTCTCAGGAGCCGCACAGATGGCGAAATGTCACCCAAACAAACTGGATCAGCTCCTCACATTGACAGAGCATCAATCTTCTCCCGGTCCTTCAATCACTCTTCCTTTTCTCGTTTCAGGCTCCTCTTGCTTTTGTCTTTCTCTCACACAGACACACACAACATCAGGCACATAGACGTACAATATATTAGTGTACACACACACACACACTCTCGCTATCAATCCACTTCCATGTATCCCTAGTTATCTATTTCAGTTTACACTTTCAAACCACTTAATTAAAATGTCAGAGCAAACGCTTTAACATGAGATTTACAGCAGCTATTCTGGGCATCATCTTCGTTGTATAATGCTGTGGTAGTCACAATAAATCACCCGTACTCAGTGTGTGTGTGTATGTGTGTATTTTCAGGGTTGTTGCTAGTTGGGAGGTCAGTGCCATAGGACATCCTGTGGTGCTTCCGCTGAAGGTGTGTGAGGAGCTGCAGCAAGTGATACATGACAGCAACGCTACACTTCCTGCATCGATGCGTTGCATGACGTCCTACGAGGTGAGATATTTACTATGCGCCACAAGGCAACAGATGATGACCAAGGCATGTGGATGCTAGGCTCAGTCAGATGTTTTGATGTTTCTAAAATGCTTACGCTGATGCTGTGTAATAAAAGCAAAAAGATGCTGAAGGTCTTCTAATTCATCTTCACCTTTTGTAAAAGCTGCATTAGCAGCACAGCACAGCCTGTTTTAGCTGACAGCAATCACTTGCTTCACTTTTTACTTACAGCACCTTGTTTTTCCATTATTCAGAAGTGCTTGACTGTGTTTTTTTTTTTTTTCATCCCGCCTTAATTAATTTCATGATTCAGAGCTTTCAGTTAACAGCCTTGCTTTAGGGATAATGTTGGCCAATTGCAAGATTTTACTTTTGTCAGCCTTATTCCAGCTTCTATACACCTGTAATTGTGCAAAATGTGTATATTTAGCCCGAGTTGCCTTTGACTACAGAATAGGAGGTGTTAACTTTGCTGACAGCTCTATTCTCCGAGCTGTTTTAAACATCCTGACGGGGGTAATTAGCGCTATTATCCTCCACTTCCTGCTCACAAAGTTTAGGATGTGACTCCTACCGCTTCAACAAGTTTTCTATTGGTTAAAAAATACACAAGCTGGAATTGAGCCTCTAGAAGGAGGAATACTTTATTGCAATGTCAAACCAACACACAGCTCAAAATGGGCCTTTGGGGGGTGACTATGTATGAGAGTGAGCATGAGCTCTCCATGTACAGTAAAGGCCTTATTTGACAGAAATCTGTACAGAGCTGTTATTTTTGACCATTTGATAGACAGAAATGTCTATTGTGTAGAGTCAGGGTAACCCAAACAGACTGGTTAAACAAAAATACATTGTTTGTATTCATAGTTCTTTAGTTTTGGTGCTGGTGAGTTTCATTTAGTGCTGTCTAAAACCTGTTTGGAAGTCACCAAAAATGTATCTATACAAGAAAAACAATGACATATCGAAGAAAATATATTTTTTGTTGTCTGTGAAGATTTCATAGTAAAAACTCATTCAGGGTTAAGTGTTTTCTTTTGGGTTTTTTTCTAATGTAAACTGCAGTTGTTAGCATGTGCTAGCTATGTAGCTCATTACATGCGCTAGCAGCGTAGCATTACCACTACCACTTAACTACCCGCACGTCTGAAAGCCAGTCCTAATTGAAGTCGGTGTTTCAGCTAACATTAGCAGCACTGTGTTGTTCATTATAATTTGAAGACAAATGGCTTACGGCCAAAACATTTTTATTTAACAGAGCATTATATTCACCGGAATTCTCATCCTAGAAGCTTTTTTCTCTTGTTCAGCAAAAAACTGAAATTGGATAAAGGAATATTTAAAAATAAATACAGCTTAGTAAGCTAGGCAGTGGCAGCTAGCAAGGATGCTGCTTTTTTTCCTGGGACAAATTTAGCCTCTGTCATTTAGCGTATCATTCTTCAGTCCCTTTATACAAGGGTCTTGTTTTAAAATTAGTCAACTTTCAAATATACAAAGGTCAGCTACCTCGCAGACCTAATGTTTGCTTAATTAAGTAAACCAGGCTCATGCTGAAACAGCTAGTGTTAACACTAATAATACTTTGCAGTCCCAAAGACAAACCAAAGCAGAAGGCTAAATTAGTCATAAATAAGTCTTATCAATTTTCCTGATGTGGTTATTGAAACCAACCAACATGTGATGTTATTTGGGCACCCCAATGATTCTGCAAGGTTTAAAATTAGATCTGTTAACCCGTCTCATTACCAAATAATTAGGGCCAAACATCAACTCACACCAAGGTCCCTGACCAGATTTCCCCTTCAATTGTTTGGAGGTGATAAAACGCAGGTAAATCAGCCTTCAGCTTCAGTCTGCTACAGCTGATAAAATCAGTTTGGGAAGGTTGTCATCTCAGTGGGCAAAAAAAGAGCAATTTGTCTTTCTGAACTGCAATAAAGTACTCGTTTAAAAAAAAAAAAATGACTGAGATTTGACTGATAAGTCTGCCACCCTTATCATTATAAACTGATGGAGTGAGAAAAGAAGGATTGATGGCAACAGTAGCTGAAGGAGACGTGTTTTTTTTTTTTTTAACATTCAGTTACATTAAGGTTCTGCTGTTGGTTTGATATGTTATAGCACCTGTAACTTTACACACTCAGGTCTCTGCTCTACTAAACTCAAAAGTATTTGGATTACACTGATGTAAATCAAAACTAACGCAATCTCAAACTAAAAAAGATCATTTCACATCTGAAATTCGGCGTTATGTCCCCTTTAGAAAAAGTGGTATTTGGACCACAGAGCTTCCACCTACTGATATTATAATAGTATCACCCATAATAGCCTCCTATATTGTTGTATCTTATAAAAGCCTTATTGTGGCGTTTGCTGTCTCTCTACATTGCCTGAGGAAGACATACTGAATTCAGAGCTGTTTCTCTCTCTTTCTTTTTTTTTCTCTTATACAATGTGGTGATGAGATAAGCAGTATTGTTTTCTGAGGTAACAACATGACAGTGGTGGGCGGTTTTGCTGAAATGGAGAAGGCTACCGACACAGCGACCCAGATACAGGACACAGTATCTGTCTGGTGGCGGAAGCAGTTACAGTGATGGTAGAAAAAAAAAAAAAAAGTGTGATAAATGGACACACTTGAACACTATCTGATAGTAGATGCCTGTTGTGCTATAGGCGAACGGGAAGGTAATGTGATCATAGGGTCATCTAAAATTACCGGAGTTGGTCCGAGAGCGTCACTCTTTGAAAAACACTCCAGCGCCCCGAGTATCAGAGGGGGAGGACCAGCATGCAGTGTAACAACAGCCTGGGAGCTTATAGTGATCTGAAAAGTTCTATCTGCCAGAGAGGATGAGGTGAAGATGTGAGGGAGAGAGAAACCAAAAGGGGAGGATGCTGTGAGCAACAGTATTGCATTACCAGTGCTTGCCTTTGAAGCCTTTGGAGACTCAAGTGAGCAAAGGGCTTCTTTAGAGGAAAAAATGGTGTTGTAAACATCTGTCCATCTATTATCTATATATCGCTTTATCCTGTATCCTGTATCCTGAGGATCGTGGGGGAGATGGAGCCTTTCCCAGCTTGATTTAGGATGAAAGTTGCATCCTGGACAAGTCGCCAGTGCATTTGTAAACACTTTAGGCTTTTTTAAAGGAAATTTTATATTGTTTTCATGCCCTTGATCCTTATATCTAATATGATTTTGCACAATACAGAGAGCATTAGATAGCAAGAAAATGATAAGATATTGTGATTATAGGTGCTAATGTGTAGTTTTTTCCATGTATTTACTCGGTGGGCGTTAGGGCTGGACCCGAACATCCGAATATCCAAATGTTCAGCCGTTGTGGTGGTATCCGGATATCAATTTTGAGATCTGAATATTCGGATAGGGTTAGGGTTAACCCACCACTGCCACAGTGGCAAACTGTGTTCTGGCCACTTCCACCCCGTCACAGTGCGAGCACACCCACCCCCCTGGACCGTGCCGAATATTCAGACATTCGTCATTAATTGCGCCCGAATATCCAAAGCCCAAAAATTGCTATTCGGACCAGCCCTAGTGGGCACACATTGTAGCTGACTTGCTGAAGGTGTATATGCATGCATCTGCGGGCATGTGTGGGGCAGAATTGTCAAGGTATCTATGTGAAACAAAATCTTAGTTAAGACTTAAACAGTCATACTATGGGGGGGAAAAAAAGAATTAAACAGACTGTCCTGCATCCCTCATTGTCCCAGGAGGTCAGGTCCTATGAGAAGTCAGAAGGGATGAATGGTGCTGGACATAGGGCGACACCTAACACCGTCACCCCAACAGGACATCCCAATCCCAAGCCACCATCAGCGCGTCACGCTTTCCTTTATCTGGTGCATTTTTATTTATTCATTTTCACTTCTTTTTTTCTTTCATCCTCCATCACATACAGATTTACAGTGGAGTCCATTTGGGAAATCAACAAGAGTGGTCAAGATAAGACACCTATCTAAAATCACTCTTTTGGAAATGAAAATATTTTTGATAACTGACTCAAATTTCTGAAAAGATGCTTCATCATTCTTTGGAGACTGTTTTTTGAGCTGCCGTTTGCTGGAGGGCTTGTGCGGGTCTGTCTTCTCTTTGAAAATCCCAAAAGGCTTTGTATTGGACTGAAGTAAGGACACATATTTGGCCTGATCATAGTTTTCACATTTCTGCCTTCCAAACCTCTTGAGTGCTTTGTGTCATTATCATGCTTGAATATTCCTCTTCTGGCAAACTTTTGTAGCCTGGGAGTCATCTTGTTCGCCAGTATTTTGATATATCCACAGGCATAAATGGTGCGATCTACAAATGTCATCTCCCCAGTACTTGTTGCACTCATGCAGTTCCGTATCGTCACACTCCCACCTCCGTGTTTCACTGTCAGGACCATACACTCACTGTTGGAGTCCCAGCTAGAATCACACTAAACATCATGGACCCTATGTGTGCTGATTAAACTTATCCTAGTGTCATCTGATCAAAGAATGTGCTTCCAATAGTTCTCAGGCTTCTTCTTGTTTCTTTAGCAAAGTTTTATCTTGACGTTTTTTGTGCCAAAGAGAAAGCAAGGCATTTTTTCTTTGAAAGCCATCCAGAGGCTGATGTTACACAATGTTCTTTTCACTGTCTGAGCTGTCACAGAAACTTTGATTTCCATCGATAACCGCTGTGCCAAGTCTGAAGCACTTGCCCGTCTGTTTTTTAGAGGTAGATTGTACAAGTAGCGCATTGTCCGTGGCCACTGCAGCTCTGATCAGTGCTACCGTTCTATACCTCTTGAGTACTGCTGCAACTGTGTTTCCACTGACTTTAGTTGGTTATCACTCTTCCTGTAGCTTTTGGAGTTGTAATGCAGACATGTAGATGGACACAGCTCACTGGTCCAAAATTGAGAAGGTTCTGCTGTTCAACGGTCATTTTAAAACCATGTTCATGCAGTTAGGATAATTGGAAATCACCGCTGTACTCA